TTTAAAATATCTGATAAGAATTTACATTACCTAGCCTCCTCCTAAATCTCATATCACACTAAACAGCCATAGTTCTTTTTGGTCTAAAATGCTTTATTTTTCCCACCCCATTTTACTTCACAGCCCTGAAACTGAAGTCCTGCTGTTATATTACAAGGTTATAGTTTAAGTCTGTTGTTTGTTTGCAAAAGTCTCTTGCCTTATATTTTTATTTTGATGGAACTGAAGTGACACTAAAACTTTTGATTTTATCTACAGTAAAATACTTTAAAGCATTTTGAAAATCAACATTTGGGGAATATTTGGGAGTTTGGAATTTCTATAGAAAAAGAGGACTAGTGAAAGTGACTGCCCTCATGACAGTAAGTTTACAACATTTACCAGTATCATGGCCCTAACACCTCTGAATATGTTGTGCCATTTTCCCCCATCACTGAATTTTTTGAAATATGATAAAAATTGAAAGAGGAATTTCCAGCTGACTTACAATAATAAATTAAGAGAAAAACCAAAAGTATTCCTACTTTAGTGTGCCATTACATTTCTTTAGTTGGAAGACTATGTTCAATAGAATTATTACAGCCTAGTAGTAATAGTTAGAAATAATACACAGCAACTTTTATAGAAGGACTCCTGAGTACTTTATAAACCACTGATACATAAAGGATTAATGTAAATTCTGATTGTGTATTAAAGGCCAAACTATCCTTCATTTGCAAGTCTCAAATTGACCTTAATATACTAGTGTTTTTGAAATTTATATCCTGATTAATTTCTTTATTCATTCCTTGAATCAATATTTATTTAGCGTCTATTCATTCTTAAAAGTCTGCCTTGTTCTCTTAAGCAAGTGTTATAACTTCTTGAAACCCAGTGCATTCACCTTATTCTGTTCTATATGTTAGTAGCCATTTCTGTTTGAGTCTCATCCCTTTATGAGATAATAAATACCCTTGTAACAGCAGCACTGACAGACTTATCTTTATAATCCTTAAATCTCTTGGCCTTAATCTTATAGGTATGAGGCACTCCATTGACATTTGTTGAACTAAATTGAACTGAAAAGTGAAGTCGACATGGGAAAGTATCCTGATTCACTTTTCTCCAACTTCCATCAATGACTAAGGATTTGGAAGTTGCATTCTTGAAGACTGGTTATGCCATAATTTGTTAATAATGCAGTTAAAAATTACAGTGTTTATACCTGGCATTCACCTTATTAATATGCATAGTCCTGATTGCCTGATTATAGAACTTAACTATTTGACCAGCACCATGGATATTCCTAAACAATGCTCTGCTTCTTAAAAAACAAAAATAAAACAAACAAAAACACACATTCAGGGGAAAAAAAGTAATTACAGGAATCAATTAGTCACTTCTCTTAAACATTTTATTTTGGTAAGGTTAATCATCGTTGAGAGTATATAATTGATATAACTTAGATATCCTTCCTAACCTATTCTACAGAACTCTAAACAGACACTTAATCATTATTTTAAGTCTAGTTGCACCCTCTGTTTCTTTTTAAAATATAAAATATGCAGATTCTCTGCCCCTGCGTTTTCTGTCTTTTGGTCTGAAGTGCTTTGTTTTTTCCACCCCATTTTTATATCACAGTCCTGAAACTGAAGTCCTACTGTTATATTACAAGGTTGTAGTTTAAGTCTGTTGTTTGTTTGCAAAACAATTTTACAACCAAGTACTCACCCTAGGCATTGTTTTCCCATGACAACTAAGCAAGCCACACTTGTGTGAAGACAGTGCTATTTTATATTCCTATCTCTGAAACTGTTTATTTTCCCTATTTATATATATTTTTTCAAATTACATAGGTGATACAAAGTTTGGCCTGCACCCAGAGTCAACTCATTCAAATTTATTCTTTACAGAAGTTATTCTTCACCTTTGTTGAGATAATGAAAGCCATGTGAAACCACAACCATGACATTGTCAGTTTTACACAATCATTTAAAAATAAACAACACCCTGTTTACAGGGGCTACTCAATGGATTGTACATTGAATTTTTTCACAAAGAAACTAAGGAAATGAGAACTTCACAATGTTTGTGCAGTACATTTGTTTTTAGTTTTTTGTTTTTTTCCCCAGCCAGGATCTGGGTCAGCAGAGATAGTGATGCCTCTAGCATCACCAGCCAGGTAAATAAATCTCCAGATCCCTACTCCCCAAGCTGTCAATTTCCAGAATGTTGATGCATATGGAGCTCTGCAAGACCTTTTGTGCCAGGAATTTTGTCCCTTTCAGCTCCTTCTGATATTATAAGTCCTCACCCTTTGAAAATGCATAGTGTAAGTTTTAATTTATTAAAATTTTTTGCTAGACAATCTTGAATGGACAACGAGTTCTTTATGGAGACACCCAGTGCAGAATTTTTATTGATTCCACGTCTTTGTAACATTTACAAGTATTTGCACTTAAGATGGATTTTTTACAAATAAAACTGACATATTTTTGACTGCAGTCACAAAGAAATCAAAAGCTGAGAGTGTCAAGAAATGGGGGGACAGGGGCTTTGAGAGAGTGCAAAAACCTCAACAGCCACACCAGAAAAAGTTAGTGAATCAGAAAGAGATAAATAAAGGATTGCTGAGTGGCAACAACCCCCGCTGAAGCCAAATAGCAGGAATCTGTACTAGGCTTCATAATAGAATATGCCACTTCCTGCCTTAGTACCATCAAGCATTCCGCTGATAATTATCTTTTGCACAAGCTAGACTGGAGACTCCCACAGAATAAGATGGCTCCATCCTGCTCCACCCATGCTAAATCACTCAGGTCTAGATTGCCCAATATGCCACCTAATTCAACTATTTCATAAACTGAGCTTTCTCCACAATCCCATCTATTTGTTGCTTGTCCTCATCTTCATGGTAAGATTCTCAAGGAAAGTTCTATTGTAGATAAATTGTGGACTACATAAATCTGGCAATATAAAACAAGAGAAAGTTTGTGTATAATATTCCAAGAAAGTAAAGAAAATCTTCAGGGGCCAAGAATGACAGGCAGCTGTGATGAAGGAAATTGCCAGACTGGGTAGGCTGATTGGGCATTTAATGGTTTCTCAAGAACAGAAGCTTTGGGTTCAGTCAAGTTAATACATAAAACCAGACCACGGTAGGGCAACAGCTCAAGAAAAGGGTGTAGGTGAAAAAATTCTCTCACCTATACAGAGTCAACTAAGTGTTTTCTGCCTTGGTGTAGGCTTAGTATGGTGAGGAAAATATCTTCCTTGAGAATTTGTCGTCACAGCCTCATTCTTGAGACAGATTGTATTTTGAATTTACACCACACCCTGTGTCTGGGAATCTAGAATTTGAGAACTTATCATAAAAGTGGACCCAGGCCAGTAATACCAACATTGCAGTATCTATTAGAAGCAGACAGAAAACATCTTTGGAAGATTATTTTAAGAGATATTGGCTGTGACTTTCCCAGGATTGTTAAAGGGCAATCAGCCTTCAAAGTCAGGAAGTACAACAAATCCTAAATAATATGAACAGAAATTAATAATTAAAAATCTAAACAACTTGTAGTGACACTGGAGAACATTAAAAACAGAAATGTCTTGAATTTAATCAAAACAAGAACCTAAGATGAGCAAAAATTTTATTTCACAATAGCCATGTACACAAAACTCTTTTCCAGCACAATTCATGTATTCTGAATTTATTTATTTTATTTTTTATTTTTGCGGGTAGATAGTAGTATATATATTTTTATGGGATCCATGAGATGTTTTGATACAGGTATGCAATGAGTAATGATCACATTATAGAGAATGAGGTATCCATCCCCTCAAGCATTATACTTTGTGTTATAAAAAATCCAATTACACTATTTTAGTTATTTTTTTAAATGTAAAATTTGTTATTATTGACTATAGTGACCCTGTTATGCTATAAAATAGCATGTCTTATTCATTCTTTCTAGCTGTTTTTTTCTGTACCCATTAACCATTCCCACCTCCCTCCCACCCTCACTACCCTTCCCAGCCTCTGATAACTATTCTTCTACTCTCTATGTCTATCATATATCCTGGTGTTAAGAGTTTTCCTATATTTCATACATAAGTCACCCAATTACACAATTATTTTTATGCGATATTAAAGTGCTTAAAATAATTTAATTTTTGTCTTTGATAATGAAACTGCATGAAAATTGTGGCTTTCACTGTTATCACTGATGACACCAGTGACGTTACAAAGCTGCTAATTAGTAACTTAAGTTAGATGTTCATATTGAAGGAATTTTCAGTTTTTCAGAGAATGAGAGTTGTAATCTCTAATGCAAAAATAAAATTGAACTTTTAAACGATCTCTAGTTTTTTTTTTTAAAAGATGTTTGAGTTTCTAATTTCCTAAACATTCCTGAAAACATTCTCAAAAAAAAAAAAAAAGAGTCAAACAGAGAGAAAAGCTTTTTGATTTCTTTTTATTTTTTGTAATTACAAGAAAACATTACTGCTTAACGAATGCCAGTGTCAATTCACTGAGTATTTCTAAGGCACAGAGATTGTGCCTTAGAAAAACCTTGCTTCCTGCTCGATCTACTCTTAGGTGATCATTCTTATTCTATGATGAAGACACTGAGCAGCCTATCTTCCATTTTTATAAATTATCAATAAGTAAAGTACATCTAAATTCTTTGGATGAAAATCATTTTAAGTTTTTATATTGATGTATTCTGTTGAGAAATATATGTAAACGTTGGCTTATAGCATTGTCATTCTTTTTAAGGAGATTATAACAATTTTCTGAACAAGGTTGATAGAATGTGATTTAAATAAAAGTGGTACTTTTTACCACTTATTTTGAATATGGCTTATCAATTCTTTTAACTAGAATACATGACTTTTTTTTTTAACTATCATTTTCCCATCATGATGCCACATGGAATTATGCTAAAATAGTTAATATTTTAAAAAAATATTTCAGTGAATTAAAATTGATTTTCTCTTATTTGTTTATATCTTCACAGATTGTAAGTGTTGGGAAGCATGTTAAAGGCTACCATTATATCATTGCAAACTTGGTAAGAATTTATTCTCTACTTTTCATAAGTATTGCTCAAGCACACAAGATTATTTTAACTGTACCTTAAAATAATGCTTCAATAAATAGATTACATTACCTACTAAGCTTTTAATAAAACATATGATGTTTTATTACAATGATCATTAAATTTCATACGTAGAATTCAATATACTTTTATGCAGATTAGCTTGGTGTCTGCCAAAGAGACCTTTAAAAGAAATCATAATGGTTGCTTTGCTATAATACCACTTGTCAAATTAAATAATTTTCTCTGTCTAAATGATAAATGTTACTTTATGGATAAGACAGCCAATATTTGGAAATTACAAGAATGATCTAAACTAATAGCTTGTGTTCTCTAATTTTAAGAATAACTGCATATAATTGGCTATATAAGCAAATCTTTTAAATGAGAGTAATCCAAATTTTAAAAAATTATGTCCGCTTTTTTTCATATCATATACAAATGGCTTATAAATAAGTCACACACATATTTAATAAATTCTTAAAGGCCTGAGAGAAATCCTTTTAGATATCTCTGCAAGGCTCATTGAATATGTCTTGTTAACCATGCAGTGTAGGGGGTAGATTGTATATGGAGTGGTCTATCCACTCTTGCTTTATCATAGAGTACCATTTGCCCTAAGGGCTTGACCCTCAAAGTGGTTTCTACTGGAGAAGTTAATGATGTTTTCTCCTTTTCCTATTTTTACCACACATTTTTTTGATGACTGTCTTGTGCTTGAAACAGAAAAGGAGCTAAATGATGCAAAAGAGAGTCAGATCTATCCATTATTTCTGTATGGCAAGTGGACTGTCACACTTTGAGACAGGAATTTTTGGTCTTTCATGAACTGGGTTTCATTGTGGATCTGAAATATTAAAATAAAGCAATATACTGTGAACCATTATTATATTGTGTTTCTTAAAGTATAATTTTGCAACTTAATGGATTATCATGAAATACTGAGCAATTTTGACTTGTGTTTTCCATTCCCTTTAGTAGGCTGTTTTGAGTGTTTTACTATTTTTTATAAAAATATAAATTTTAAGACAAATATATTCTGATATTAATTACTATAAAAGAAAAAACAGGATTATGGGATATCTGTAAGTACAGTGAAATCATACAATGAGACTCTAAGTAATGACTTGTATAGAAAATAGGAAGTTTTGTCAACTATTCTAACAAACAATAGAATTGACAGGGGAAAAAAATAATGTGTTATACATAAACTGTCATTCCAGAAATTAGTTGCTTACGTTGACAATTAAATAAATCAATATAAGATGGAATGAATTAATATTTATAGCACTCCAAAGGATATTACAAACAGCCCTAGGAAGTAGTAGTATATTTAAGTTATCTAGCATTCCAGTATATGTAGTAGGAAAACATTTTTGTTTGCAATAGGGACTAAAACCATCACTCTCACTAAGAATAAGCAAATTTTATCATATGTTGTTGATATGTTTGTAACACATCATTAGATCAGTGATGGCCATTTACATACATTATAATATAGTGCATTAATATGGATTCTATTGACTTATTCATTTTCCCTAAAGGACTATTACTTATAACACTAGAGTAGTTTTTATTTTATTGAGCCAATCAACAACTATTTTTGAGAGCTATGTACATAAGATTCTCAAATGTGAAGTCAATTCAGCATCAAAATGAAAACTTACATCAACATTATATTTAAGGTCGAAAGACTAAATGATTTTTCCCTAAAATTGGTAACAAAAGTAAGAATGTCCCTTCTCACCACTTCTGTTGAACATTGTACTGAAGGTTCTATTACTAATATTTAGATAAAATAAATAAATAAAAGGCATTGAAAAGGAAGACAATTGTATATATTAAAAAAAATACCAAGAAATCAAAAAATATTTGTAGAACTAATAAGTTCTGCAGGGTTGCAGAATGCAAGGTGAACATACAACAGTGTATTGTATGTCTATATACAAGCAATAAATATTCTAAAAAATTAAACTAAGAAAATATTTCACTGATAATTTATAATTAATGGGGAACTGCTATACCTAAACCAACTCATCAAGGGTAATTTAACAGTAATAGTAAAAACTGATGTCTACAAAAGCAATTCTTATTTGTGATTGGGTGGTTACAAATATTCCAGAATATTTAAAATATTCTGTAGTCACAATGTAGAATATCAAAGCAGAAGGTATGAAGTCCAACCCATCTTTACGAAAAAGGAAAGAATGAAATTTAGCAGACATCAACATGTGATGCATGAAACTGGATCATGAATTTACAAACATGCATTTTTGTAAAAGCCAAGGACCTCCCTTATTTAAACAAGGTTAACTCCCTGGAGAAACTGAGTTTAAATATAAGTATTCTTTAGATTCTTTGAAACTGATAATCTTTTAAACCAAGGAACAAAGTAAGGAATGACACCGAAATATTGGCTTTCTATAGTCTTTAAATTCTTTGGCTGAAATACAGAAAGCATATTTCATGTACTTAAAAAATATAATAGGCAATTTCTTTTGTGAGTAAGATTGCTAATAGGTTGTGAATGCTCTCTGGCATTATTTCAGATTGCCTTGCCATTATCTGTAAGTTGAACTTTTCTTCTTCAATTTACTACCACTCAATCTTTTTCATCATTCTATCCTGATAAAATGAGAATACACTGATGTAATATATGCTCCTCTGATCTTAGCTTTTGGAGCTATTGCACTGTGCCGGCATCTCGCCTCCAACCAGACCAAAAGAAGTAGGAATCCTTTCCCTTAATACTCAAGCCTGAACCTGCAGAAGGTCCAAGAGGGCCCATTGGGAGCTAACAAATCTGAATAGTATGAACTATGCCTGATATCTAATTGAATGGGCATGCATCTCCCTGATTCTTGAAATTTCTCTGGTTATCTCTGCCACTATCTTTAACAATTGCATATTAAGTATAAGCAAACTTGTTAGAAATGAAAGATTGCTGAGATTCTTTGTTCTTTTCTATGTCCTACATGGGATTTGTATGTGGGTGTATGCATGTTTTATTAAAATAAACCCATCATCTGGAGGTACTGGTGAAAGCACATGATATCTCAATAGATTAAGCTCTGTGCCAAAAGTTTCCTAGAAACTAGAGTCAAGAAAACCTTATCTGTCTTTAGTTTTATCCTGGCCTGTTTCTTAGAGATTCAAGTAAGAAAATTGCTTCCTTACTTAGCCCTAGATTTTATCTTTCCTGGTTTTTCTTTCATTTAGCTGCCAGTTATTTTTTAAAGACAAGTATGATATCATTTGCTTAAATTTTTTATTTGCCCCCGGCTGCAAATACAGTAGAAGACATCAGATTCTTCATGATCTGATTCCCATGGATTTTCCAAACCTACTTTTGCTAATATATGTCTCACTTATCCACAGAGCTTGAATGTCTGCAAATGACATATTATACCAACTCTGAGTCATTGCCCCAGTTTTTACCACCATCTTCCAGAGTAAGCATCAAAACCTAAGCACTGCTCTACTTAAATATTTTAGGAAAAAGGATTTGCACTCTTGAACTTAATGCACAAAGCCCTTTAAGGTTTTATCCCTACTTGACCCCACAGTCTTTCCCACTCCACCCCACAAGCATCTCTTCTTCAGACCAAACTAATTCCCAGACACCTAAAGCTGCTTTCCTCTTCCCAGCTTTTTTTAGGCTGTTATCTCTATCAGGAGGTGTTTACCCCACCCAATCCTAGTCAGTGGTTAGTTACAGTCACTTCTAGGAAGCTCTCCATAAATATCCACTTTGATAGTCCCTCCTCTGGACTCTCAAACTAACCTGTGTACTCATAGTATAGAACTTATTCTTGCTTTTTCATTTATCAAATTATTATTTTATACACCCTCTGTACCAGGTACTATCCAACATCCTGTGGCACAACTGCAAATAAGACATTAGCACACTGCAAGCTCACTGAAGGCAGGAACAATGTCTCTTTTTTAACCTTGTAAAAGGGTCCTTATGCCTATTCTTTATCTGTGGAACTCCTGCTTATCCTCTAGCACCCAGCTTATGTTATTTCAATTGTTTTTATTATTATAATTGCTTTAATTTGGCCTCAAAAAGATTTTTAATAGATAGGAAAATGAGGTTCAGTGTAATTTACACAAGATCTCACGGATCAGAATTATCGAAGTTTGAAGCTCTGGCCTGATTGCAAGGAATAAATAAACACAAATAAAATAAATAACTTAGGGAATAATGCCACCAAGTGACCATTTATTTAAGCATCTCCCACAGCACTCGTAAAAGGGACCTAGCATTAAACACATAGCTCTATATTGATATTCACTCCTCTAGCAGTCAAATAATTTAAATATGGCCACCAATAGCCACAAGAAACAGTTGGCATTTCTCCCATTTGCAAGACAAATATTTAGACTCTTGTTCTCATTTCGATTTTTTATTTTATAAATTATCATTTAATTTACATCTGGGAGAACACCTGGCTCAATCATTAAAAAGGTAAAAAATTATAAAATGTTTTGAATGCATAAAGATGAACTGAATCTATTTATTATCTATCCTCCACCATCTCACACCATTCACGCCACATTCAGAACGTAAAGGAAATAGGACATTATTAGGTTACAGGGAGCAAAGTTACTTGTCTACATTTAGGTGTTTGGTTAGTTTCAGAATGGAGAGTAGACATGCTTCCCAAAATTTGCAGTTAGCACATTTTTATTGGAATGCAGTGACCCCAGTTAAGATTCCACCAACTTGGCAATATTATTTTACCTTTGTGCTTCTCGTTTTTTAACTTTTCTGCATTGAGCATATCTGACTCTACCATCTATCTACATGCACATGAAAAGTACATACTTTAAGTCAATTTCTTAACTAATTTTTACAACATAGTAAGGGAGCAACTTCCCCCATTCTATTTGACGTTCCTTCCATTAATTGCACCAGAGCTCTCTCAATATGATTTAGTCAGCCTATGAAACTGAAATACCAAATACAGCAGAAATGTTACCTGAATTAAGTAAAACTTGAAGAATGAGCATTTATTAAACTGCAATAAGTTGACAAACCTATAGATTTATATAAATAGTCATCAGGATATCTGATACCTATAATTCTAAACATTTTATTTTCTACCAAAGGATGTATGAACTACAAACAGAAATAAGAGAAAAAACAAGTCAGGCTTAATCTAGAGAGGGGTAATTAGCCATTGTGAATTTGCTTGTGAAATCCAAGCAAAGTAGTAGCCCATTTTAACAAATAGAAAGCCTTTCCCTTGATCTCTCCCTACCCTCAGAAACATTATTTATTTAGTCACTTAATCACTGATTTCCCCCTGACTGTGGAGTGAATAATTTTTTATGATGTTGCACAGGAACTCTCAGTTCCACAATATTCTTTGGATAAAAAATAAAATCAAAATGGCCACCAAAATAAATGTTTCCAAGAAAACTGCCTCACAGTCTATATACTATCAATTTCCTATATTAAGTCCTAAGAAAATATATGAAAAGAAAAATACTGCCCCTACACAAAACAGACATAGCTGAAATTAACTGAGCCACCCACCATTCATTCAAATCATAACCGAAAGGGGTTTATAATCAGACATGGCAATTTTTCCATTTACCTTCAGCATACGAACACGATGGACTCTGAGAAATGTGAACTATTATTTATCAGCTAGACTTTACATCAGATGATTTTTCTGAAGGCTGCAGCTTTGTGTCTTTATCCTGCAGCTGCGGATAACGTTATGAAAGAAATTTGGCAGACCTTCTATTTCAGCCATGGTTGAAAGAAAATAATAATGTCATCAATTAGCAACTAATGCAATAGTTGAATTACTGTGGCTTTTAGAAAACATTGGAATTATTTGCCTGCCTGTGGGTCTGCCCTATACTCTGATAGAAGCAAACAAACATTAATCTGACATTTTACTAGCTGGAGATTGATGGACAGCGTTTTTTTCCCGTCTCAGAAACATAGGCTTACTTTCTGGTGTCTAGTTTCTTTATCGACAAAATAAGAATGTTACTGATGAGCTGTCAAATTAGCTGACATATTATAGGCATGAAATAAATATTTGTTGAGTGAATTAATTGATAATAATGGTCATTTTCTGAATTCAAAGCAGGTGTGCTTGATACCATAGCATTCTCATTCTCATTTTGAATGTGGAAGATATAAGGTTAGAAAGTAACAGAGGTAGAATCCAAAGTCTGAGCTTTTGTTTTTTTGGTGGAGGTGGGGGTACAATATCACCTTGCCTTTCCTATAGATACTATGATAATTAATAAAAATTTAAAACACACCTCTGTGTAACAATATGCAGGAGTATAAGGTGAAAAAGGCAAACTCAAGAGGTGGTTTGAATGGCTGAAATCTTAGCTCTACCATACGTTTGCTGGATGGCCTTGAATGGTTTTTCTTCAGCCTCCTGAGCCTGTTTTCATATCTGTAGGATAGGGTTAATAATAGGATCTATCTCATAACCTTGTTATGAAGCTAAACTAGATCAATATCTGTGTAATGTGCTTAGCACAGTACCTGGCCTATAATAAGCTCATCATATAATAGCTGTTAGCTCATATACGGGGGCTTCTTGACAGCAAATTTTCTCAGTTGCCCGTAGATTGATCTATTTTTTCTTAGCTAGCCAAGTAGCAATACACATATATTGGTTAGGAAGGCAACCTACTTCATTATGAAAGAAAAAAGAGGAGGAGGAGGAGGAAGGGATGGAGGGAGGGAAGGAAAATGGGAGGGAGGGAGAGAGGAAATAAACAAATAATCTGAAGATCCCAAAACCATGGCCAAGGTGCATTCAGAAGGACAAGCAATTCCAAGTCCTCATTACTTCATACTGTAACTGCAGGGTTATTGCTACACATTTTATTTCCATTAAAAACCAGATCAAACACTCTCCCTTCATTCCGTCAGCAAACTGAAGCATATTCACATTTCAAAAGAAACTTTACTAAATACTAAGAGAAAACAGAAAGAAAGGAATTACAAAGGCTACAAGCTCGTTTGTGTGTGTGTGTGTGTGTGTGTGTGTGTGTGTGTGAATTGTTCAGAATTTTTGAATCCTTTATAACTACCTCTAGGCAAGAAGGGATAGCATCCTTCCCTCCCAGCTTCTTTGCTCCATCTGGTAGACACACCATCTTTTTTCCTACCACACACGAGTCCATGAATGGCCTATCTTGCTCTATTCCCTTGGATTATCATTTCTCAGGACACTTAGACTGATTCCATGACTTTGCTATTGTGAATAGTGCCGCAATAAACATATGAGTGCCAGTGTCTTTTTGAAAAAATGATTTCTTTTCCTTTGGTTATATACCCAGTGGTGGAATTGCTATGTCAAAAGGTAGTTCTATTTGTAGTTCTTTGAGAAATCTCCATACTGTTTTCCAAAGGGTTAGACTAATTCACATTCTCAAAAACAGTTGCAGTTATTAAGTGTTCTCTTATCTCCACATCCTCACCAACATCTGTATTTTTTTAGTTTTACATTATAACCATTCTGAGTGGCATGAGATGGCATCTTATTGTGGTTTTAATTTTTTCTCTGATGATTAGTGATGTTGGGCATTTTTTCATATGTTCACTGGCTGTTTGTATTTCATTTTTTGGGAAGTGTCTGTTCTTGTCCTTTACTCTTTTTTAATGGGGTTATTTGGTTTTTGTTTGTTGATTTAAGTTTCTTATAGATTCTGGATATTACTACTTTGTCAGATTCATAATTTGCAAATATTTTCTCTCATTCTGTAGGTTGTCTGTTTACTCTGTTGATTATTTTGCTGTGCAGAAGCTCTTTAGTTTAATTAGATCCCATTTGTCTTTTTTTGTTTTGTTTTGTTTGCTTTTGAGATCCTAGTCATAAATTATATGTCTAGATCAATATCCAGAGGAGTTTTCCCTAGGTTTTCTTGTAGGATTCTTATATTTTCATATCTTATGTAGTCTTTAATCTATCTTAATTTTTGTATATGGTAAAAGGTAGGAGTTTAGTTTCCTGCATAGGGACAGCCAGTTTTCCCAACATTATTTATTAAATCGAGTATCCTTTCCCCTTGTTTATTTTTCTTGACATTGTCAAAGATCAGTTGGTTGTAGGTATGTGATTTTATTTCTGGTTTTATTTTTGTGTTCCATTGATCTATGTGTCTATTTTTGTACCAGTACCATGTGTTACGGTTACTATAGCCTTATAGTATAGTCTTAAGTCAGATAATGTGATGCATCTGACTTTGTTCTTTTTGCTGAAGATGGCTTTGGCTATTCAAGGTCTTAATAAAGACTAACATGGAATTAATAAGTTCCATATGAATATTAAAATTTTCTTTCTAATTCTGCAAGAAATGATGTTGGTAATTTGATAGGAACTGCATTCAATCTGTAGATTGTTTTAGGCAATGTAATCATTTTAATGACATCTATTCTTCCTATCCATGAGCATGGGATGTTTTTCCATTTTTATGTGTCATCTATGATTTCTTTCATCAGTGTTTGGCAGTTTTCCTTATAGAAGTCTCTCACATTCTTGGTTAAATGCATTGCTGGATATTGTGTGTGTTGGGGGGAGCATTTTTAGATAAGATTGAATTCTTCATTTGGTTCTCAGCTTCAGTGTTGGCTATGGAAATGCAACTGATTTGGGGACATCAATTTTGCATCTTGAAACTTTACTGCAGTTGTTTATCAGATGTAGTAGTCTTCTGGAGGAGTCTTTAGGATTTTCTAGGTATTGTTCTGGCTAGCACTGGATGTAATATATTAAATACAACTGGTGAGAGTGGACATCCTTGTCTTGTTCCAGTTATTAGGAATAATGCTTCAAGCTTTTACCCAGTCAGTATGATGCTTGCCTTGGGTTTGTCATAGATGGCTTTTATTGTTTTGAGATACGTTCTTTTGATGCCTAGTTTGTTGAGAGTTTTTATCATAAAGATGTGTTGCATTTTATCAAATGCTTTTTTCTGTATCTATTGGGATGATTGTATGGTTTTTCCTTTTAATTATGTTTATTTGATGAATCACATTTATTGCTTTGCATATGCTAAACCATCCTTGCAACCCTGGAATAAAGCCTACTAAGCACAGTGAGTTATCTTTTTGATGTGCTGCTGGATTTGATGTGCTAGTATTTTGTTGAGGATTTTTATGACTGTGTTCATCAGGGATGTTGGCTTGTAGTTTTTGTTTTTGTTGTGTCCTTGCCAAATGTTGGTATCTGTATAATGCTAGTTTCATAAAATGAGTTAGTGAGAAACAGGAGACTTTTTGATGCAATCATCTTTATCTCCTATATCCCCCTTTATACTTCATAAAAGGCAATCAGAGTCATTCAAGAAATACTTGAGTTGAACTGAAATAAAAATGTATCTTTGTCTCATGTATTGGATTTTGAATTACAGATTTTAATAGCTAAATAGACATCATTAGGTTTTCCACATCTTTTATTATTTTCCACATTTTTAGCCATTGCTTTATAAGGAATCTATTATTTTGTGTAGGTTATTAATTTATGTTACTATTGAAGAACTGTCATGTATAATAAACTAAATTTAACAATCTTTTGTATAAATATTTATAGGGATTCAAGGACATTTCTCTTGAGAGGTTTATACATGGTGGAGCCAATGTTACTGGATTCCAGTTGGTAGATTTTAATACACCTATGGTAATCAAACTAATGGACCGCTGGAAGAAACTAGATCAGAGAGAGTATCCAGGTTCTGAGACTCCTCCAAAGGTATTTTTTTATTTTTATCTACTGTATTACTGATATTTTCAAAATTTTAAGATAGAAAGTTTATTATACAGTTCTTCCACTAACATTTTGGCAAACATAGTCTGGCATAGGAACAAAGCATTTTGTCTTATAACTGCCCTGCACATGTACTTAATAATTTCTGAATTTCTGTTTTTAAGAGTAGAGTTGATAGACATTAGCTCAATCAGTTTACTAGTATTCTTACAGCACATTGCATATGAATTTCCTTGCAAAATTATATTTTTAAAAAAACTGTTAACTAAATATTCCAAATGTGACAGAGCATTAGTAAATTTTTTCCCACATTTTTGAAATGATTTGCAATGAGTAAGCAAATTAGGAAATGCGCAGAAGTGTAAAATATACAAGCTTCTGTAAAAGTTCTCTTTCCTAGTTGTTTTCATGTTTTTCTGACTGACATTGTGAAAGTATGCTATTAATATTTGCTCAGAAAAAAACTGGTAAATTTATGATCATAAGCATATTTGTTCAAACTAAAAGAGTAGATGACTTTCTTAGACCTCATGTTAAATTATGACATAATGTTCCTTAAACTCCAACTTAGTAGTTTGAGCCCCTACCAAATAAGGCACCATCATGATCATTTGCTAATCTATTACTTACAGTGTATTCCAGTAAAAAGTTTTATATATAATTTGGAAACTCAAGCCTAGAAAAAATAAGATCTAAGACTAGAAGGTTTCAGCTCTGCTTCTATTTCCTAATTATAATACTTCATAATGACCATGTTAATTTCTTCTCTGAAATGCTGGAATTTGGCCAGGTTGGCATACCATCTTCACTGCCTTATAAAATCATAGAATTTCAAAACAGAACATTAAATGGGTGTCCACTATGTATCAAGCACTATAGCCCAATCCTTTGATTTTATATATATGTGCAAATTATTAAATGGATATATTAGTTGCCTGTCCCTGAGCCAAGGACCAAGTTCATGAATACACAGGATATAATCATTTTAATGTCTCCTATTTGATTATCTCCAATTAGGCATGTCTATGCTATAGCTTTGGCCTCCTTGTTCTGTAAAAATTTGTATAGTCCTCTCATCATTCACAGCTCTTGGCATGATGCTAGGCATTCAGTAGCCATTTAATAAATATATGCAGTACAATTAGTTCTCATTATTTACAGCAGTTATGTTCTAGAAAGTCTCTTTAAATTCTGAATGAGTAAATATGGAACCCTTCCTCCCAGGGAAAATATAGGGTTAAGTTCTGCTAGCCTCTGTTTACAAACTTTTTGTCAACGTTTCAGTACCTAACCTTGTTTTATGGGTGTTTCTGTTTAAAGAAACCTTATTTAATGTATTGTTGATTCATGAACATTGGACTTCTGGTGAACAGCACCGTGACTCATGCCCGAATGAAGCTTATTTGACATGCGGATTTTCTCCGTAAGGCACATCACAGCCTTCCTGCACTTTGGAATCCTAAACAGCATGTCAACACTATGCTTTTGGGCCATGTTAAACAGTGAAATCACCAGTAAAAAGCACAAAACTGCAGAAAACATGGCACTAAATACAACACAAAAAGGACGCTTGTTTACAGTATGAGAGCAGAAACAAGAAAACAGTGTTTTCTTGTTCAGCCACAGCTGGCACCTTGTGTGTTGGGTTACTCAAATTTTTCACCACTCTACAGTTCCACAAATAACCACAAAAGTGCCACAAGTATCGATCTGAGAATCACAAATAAATATTAGCAAGGAGAAAAATTTGAAAATTTAGAATCCACAAATGAGGATTGATTATAATTAATTAAAGTGTACTTTGTTTAATTTTTCAATCAAGATTAAAAGCATGACTTCTGATCATGTCACTTCCTCGCTTTAAAAAAATCTCCTGGAATCAAGGTCTTTCATTCTATAGGCCAATCAAGACTTTCCAATTGCATGACCTCTGCCCCCTTTCTGATGCTCCAGCCAGTCTGAGTTGCCCTGCATTTCTCCACTCTTTATCACTCCCTGTGCACATGCTTCTACCTCAAAAGTCCTCCACCTTCATGTCTACCTGTCCAAAGCCAACCATCTTCCAAGTCTTTCTCTCAAACTCAAATTCTACTTTCTCTATGAAATCTTTTCTTCTTTGTCTTTTTCTTTCTTTTTTTTTTTTTTTTTTTTTGTAAATGTAATTCCTTTTTCCCTTGTTCTCTCCATAGTATTTAATTGGGTAATTTTCATCACATATTTAATATAATTATTTGCACACTTACTGTTTCACTCCTATAAACTCTCTGGGCAGTAACCATCAAATACTTATCTTTGTGGTCTTTAAGATTCCTAGCTAGAGTCTGGTACATTTTTCAAAGAGCTCTCAGATATGATATGAAATTTCATTCTTATAACAACCACAGGAGAGAGTCATTATTATCTTAGTTTTGCTCTGTTTCATACTCCACAGTCAAAAATGTGCTTCACATTCCCAAAACCTATGAGTCACAGAATTAAAATTCATCCCAGTTCTTTCTTCTCTAAGCCCATACTTTTTCTACCACACCATGATTCTGCCCAATTCTGTCTTGCTATCTATAAATCTTAGTAAACAGAAACCATTCCATTATTCTAATTACTTATCAGAGCAGTAAATAACTATAGGACACTACTTACCCTGCCTAAAAATGAAATGATTATTAAGAATTTTCTAGGTGCCACTTGGAAGTTGTGTGCCTGTAACTATGGTTTCCTGGACTGTAGCACAATAAGACACATAAAAAAGAATTACATCATTTGAAAAGGTAAAACCAATTTAAACTACTACTTCTTTACACCGATCAGCTCTATGACTTGTCAAATTCCAGGTCTTTGCTGCTCTGGCTGACTGTCTCCTTTGCTCTACACCACTCTGTGTGATACCTGCCCTTTTTTCTGGTTCACATATTTCAAAAAAATGGATGGACTTTTTAAAACACAGCAAATGTGTTTGGTTTTTGGTGCCATCTCTTTTCAACTTCTTTCTTTCTGTTGAAAAAGTAGCAACATTTTTCTTTTTTTCCTCCTTTGGTCCTCAGTACTAGCATGCATTTTTCCCTTGCCCTTTATGATTTAAGTAAGATTCATTTTATTTCTTGTTTTTATTTTCTTGCCTTACCAAAAAAAGATGATTTGATGACTTTTCTACTCAAAGATGTGTTGGATCAGGCAGGGGAGGAGGCACATTTATTTTTGGTGTAGTACCTTGATTAAACACCTTAATTTTTCTCAGCTACCCCATCCCAATCAATTGTGAAGGGCATGTCTATTCAGAAGCTTGTTTTATCATGTCCTGGAGGAATATATAGGGAAGCTCTTCATTTAAATGGTTCTTATAAATCCTTCTAATACAAGAGTTATATCCAATACTATTGAACAGTTCTTCGTTAGAATTAATATTCCTTATTTTATCCATGTTTTAGTTCTTCTCTTCCCTGTAATGGTGGCTGCTATGCCTCATTGCCACGTTGCCTAAGTTTACTTTTTTTTTTTTTTTCTGAGACAGGGTCTTTCTCTGTCACCCAGGCTAGAGTGCAGTGGCACAATCACAGCTCACTGTAATCTCAGCCTCAACCTCCTGGGCTCAGGTGATCCTTCTCCCCTCTCAGCCTGAAAAAATGATTTTTCTTCATTTGAAGCAGAAAATTAAGGAGATCATCCTCCACTTTCTACAGCACAAACCTACTGCTTAGACAGGCATAGAAGGTGTTAATTATAAGGAATTGACCATATGGAATTTCTAAAGGAGATAATGTAGTTTTTGTCATGATTAGTAGTTAATAGTTGATGCTATTTAACACAGTGACTAGTACATACATGTTTATTGAATAAGCAGATCTGCCATGCTTTAAGAATATTGTGCCCCATTTCCATGTGTTCAGTAATTTTCTAATAAATCTCTACCAAAAGTGATCCCGTGTTGATTTATTTTTGTAACTAGAAAACTGCATTTTTATCTCAATTTTTCTTCACTTTTTCTCCTAATCATAATAATCTTTTGAGGGTTGGGGGAGCTCACTCTTTTCTCAAAAAGAAGCAGATGGTCTATCTTTCATATCTCTACTTTGATCCTAGTTTATATTGAAAGTTTAATGAAATGACTCTGCCTTGCTGTGCTCCCTCATTGGGTGCGGCAATATCCATTCCTATTTAGCACAGTGACTGGTGCGAACACATTTGTTAAATAAGTAGATGTTATTTCTGGCATCATATTTCTGAATAACAATAAACAATTCCACTCATTCTTCTGGGAGACTGAACAAAGATATATACTTCAAGTTAATGAGTATACATTAAATCTCAGGGAACCTTGCTAGGCATTTTGGAGAAGGAAAAGATTAAGAGGCTCAGCTCTCCTGGGGCTCAACCACAGAAACCATCTACAAGGCAGATTACAACACTCCCTTAACCTTTGATACTTTAGCTATTTTTACTGGGACACAACAGAAAGACCTTGCCTGAGGCTCTTTCTTCTCCCAACTGATGGAAAACTGTTTATTAGAGTTTCTATTTTTCAAAGTGATTTTTCTCGTTTTTAAGTTGGGATGATAAGATTTGGTGTACAGGCTTTATATTAAAGCAAGAATAGAAATTTCTGAAGCCAGATTCAATTAATTATTAGTAATTTAACCATCCTACAGACAGAATGGTGCTTTATGTCATAAACTTACAAAGACCTCAGGCCATTTCTGGTACTTGATAAGATTATAAATATACCATTATATTTGTTTTCATTTGGTTAGTACACCTCTGCTCTGACTTATGATGGAGTCCTTGTGATGGCTGAAACTTTCCGAAGTCTTAGGAGGCAGAAAATTGATATCTCAAGGAGAGGAAATGCTGGGGATTGTCTGGCAAATCCTGCTGCTCCATGGGGCCAGGGAATTGACATGGAGAGGACACTCAAACAGGTAACTCACAATTTTATTTAAGTTCAATTCATTGCATAGTCTTGTTTAAGTTGAATGTTCAAGAAAACAGACTAATTTATCCAAGCATAAATACATATTACAATTGCTACTTAAATATATCAAGCCATCATTTTGGGAACATTTCTAGATAAAATACAAGGTAGAATCTTGCTGTTTACAAAATCTTATGTGGATGCATAGTCAGGATAATCTAGGCTATGTTGCAGTACTAAACAACCCAAATCACAGTGACTTAAAACAAGGAGGGAACTTTGCTTACTCAGACACAGGCTAGATTAGCAGGTTCATTGTAATTACTCGAGGATGTAGGCTGACAGAGCAGTGACCATCTTGAATTCTTCAAAGGGAAACAGCTGAGTTTCAAATTGGCAATTAAATTATGTGGTTTAATAATGACACCTATCATGCTTGTTTACAACTCATATGTTAGAAAGAGTTGCATGGGCCTACCTAACCACAGGGGGTTCAGAAACTATAAGCCCACCTGGGTCCCGGAAGGTGGAAGAACCATAAATAATGACTACATTTGGAGATCTTTAAATTGCTTTGTAACTTTGGATTAAGTAATCAGTTTATTTTAGTCTTTCATAATTATACTAACACTACTTGTTCATATACATATTTAATGTTACATTTTAAATGTTCTGAAATGTCATGGGTTCAAAACATAGGTAAAAGCAAATTAAAAGGAAATCTGGAAATTTGGAATAAAATATATTTGAATATTTTCAAAAATGCCCTTATATGTTTTTGTTTCTTATGTCTTAATTTTAATATTAACAAGGTGAGAATATGATCTGGCATAAGTATCAGGGCTATTTAATCCATTTTGTGGATATACAGATAAAACTGAAAAGTAACCATAAAAAAATTTATTCCTATACAAATATAATTGAGGGAGAATTCTTTTAGTAAAAATGGAAACTTTATGATATTAAAAACCAATAAAATATATTCTCCTTCCAGGGGTAGAGCAGAATTGCTTATATATCTCTTTGATATTCCTCTTTCAGATTCTATCCCAATAGCTCAAATACCTAATGAAATTTCAGCAGATGAAGTTGAGATTGCTACAAGTGAAATTGCAAATGAACACATGCGTGGTTTTCTTTTTCACTCAGGTTCGAATTCAAGGGCTGACAGGGAATGTTCAGTTTGACCACTATGGACGTAGAGTCAATTACACAATGGATGTGTTTGAGCTGAAAAGCACAGGACCTAGAAAGGTGAGCCACAATCAAACTGAAAAAGAAAATTCTCTGTTTACTTAGTTTGTATGTAGCACTTTAAAGCCCTAGAGAAGGAAGATGACTTCCTTCCTTTGTTTGTGAGTACTTACAAATACTTTAGTACTTTCTTCTTTATAATTAATGCTGAGATAAATGTGTGTCATATAACTGATATTTGATGGTGTGCCCAAGCTGAAAAAAACTAATTTATACACTGTTTATATCCTTTATCCAAAATGGATGTGATATTTTGGGTGGGGTTAGCAAAAAAAAAAAAAAAAAATTCCACAAATCAAAATTGACTCTGCAGAACAGGACACAAAGCAGTAAAGAGACATAAGCACCTCAAGGCAGTCATTTATAAAATTATTACATCAAGTACCAAAAAGCTACTTCTAATGGGTGAACATATTTAGAATAGGCTGGGTGTTCTTGAATTAGTCAACTAGGTAAATTCCAAAGACCAAAAGAGAAAGAAGATAGATGGTAAGATTATTAAGATTATTATTAGGCTGAGAGGAAGAGAAACATTTAAGTTGTTCAGGAAGGTGCTGGTGCTAGGTTCCTGGATTTTGGAAGATATTTCTCTGTTAGTGGTAAGATGTGACTAGGTATAGGAATGGTCTTCACAGCATTCAAGAAGTATTTTATACAGTGTAATCATTCAGCCCACCACAGTAATTAGTTATAAGTGTTTTGTAGCTAACACATATAATTTTTTAGATTCCTTTTATCTAGGAGCTAGGATGCTCAGGGAAAAAGATACTCAAGTTCACTTTATCTAAAAGCTATATTTCTTTCAACACTTGGCTGTTTAAAAAAAATTCCAAAATATATTTTCATGCTTTTATGTAAAAATGATAGCTGCAATTCATGAAATGCCTGCTGTGTCCTAAGCACTGGACTTGGTGCTTTGCATGATTCCATCCTCATGACAAATCTATAATTTGAGTAGTAGTATTTCTTTTTTTTTCAAATGAGAAAATTATAGCACAATAAGTTATCTTATCCAAAGCCTGTAAGTGAGAAAACATATTTTAGTGTTTTGTCCCTTACTGATCTACCTAGGAAGAGATGATCTTCTGCTGGAGGAAAACAAATAGAGGAAACCTGCATGGAGGAGGTAGAATTTAAAATTGCCATGATGTTAGAGTTTGGGTAGGATGAAATGGAGGGGGCAACCTCCTGAAGAAAGGCTTGGAGGCAGGACGGTTAAAGTTAAGGTGATATAAGGAAAATGGCAAAGGTTTTGCTCCAGTCTGCCATTTGGGTGTGCTTCTACATCTGTGAGAAATTTGGAGCTGCCGTGAAAACCATCTCCAGCTTTCCATCTTCTTAATGGCATAGCCTGAATGCAGGTGGCCAGCGAATATACGGTAAGCTGGAGCCTATCTGATCCAGATCAGGAGCAGCAGGAGATGGATGGCAGCCAGAGGGCCCAGGTGCACATCATCCCAGGCTCTTCTAAGGAGATTGACTGAAGCAAGGGAAGGAGACGCTAAGAAGGGCCCACTCTGCCAGCACGCAGCCAGCAACAAAAAAAAAGGCAAGTTTTTAGCAAAGAATCTCTGCTAGCTGTGGAGCAGTTAGGATATTCCACAGGCCCCTAAAAATGTTGGCTAACAGGTGGACAAAGGTAAGACTGGCCCACCTCCTTGCCACACACCAGACCTTGCAAAATTTGCCATTTAAACAGAGATTTTTAAAATGCAAAAGACTTACTTTACAAAACAGTAAGTGCAGAATGTCAAATTGTTCTCTATAAAAGAAAGAATAGTGGAAAAAGAAAGCTGGTGCTAACTAGCAGTATTATCAAGGGGGCTTGACTCATAGTACTGAATCTTTTCATAGCCTATTGAACAATGATGGTAACAAAAATTAAGACTTTTCAAAGAGAAACTTATGGAATAAGTTGGGAGAGTGATGAACAGTACACCTTCACACTCAGCTGACATTCATCTAGGGCTCCTAAAAGAAATTTGAAGTGTAAAATGGTGTAGATTCATCTATCTTTGTTTTTCCGTGGCAACGATCAACTGGGGCATTGTGTCAGGAATATTAAACTTAAAAATGAGCTACCATGAGAGACACTATGCTGGTGAAACTAGGCAATATGTCTGAGAAGTGAGCAATCATTCTTGTAAATTGAACACTTGCCAGCAAGGGAGCTATCTTTGAAAATAGATCAGAGAGTCAACCCATCAGTTTGTCTGACTTCTGCAACAGAAAAACTGATTGAGAGTCTCATTAAGCAGAAGCCACAAACTCTTTCTGAAGTCCTGGCTCCTAAGTACACCAAAATCTTCTTATCACTACAATGACCCCCACCCAGGGCTCCAGAGGGAATGCTCCAGACTTGCATCGTTTCGGAAATATTTAATTGTAAAAATTTTATTTATTGAGAGCACCGTATATGCCAGATGCCGTAATGGAAAATTGATGTGCATTTTTATATTCAATCCTTGTGACAACCTAAAAATAAGATATATATATAGATGTATAGATATATATTTTTTTCTCCTTTTATCAAAAAGTAAGGCTCAAAGAAACTAAGTGACCTACTCAGAGATGCTCAGCTAAACACAGGTGGAGCTGCAGTAGAAACCGAAATTCCCGCAGCTCCAGAGCATCACTCAAGATCTTGACTCAGGTTTCCAGATCTTGAAACGTCATCAGTTCCATTGCCTCTAAGGATTCTATTTAAGGCTGGTGTGGGAATTGGTCAGATTTTCAGGGCAGTTCTGGTCAAAGCAGCTCTCCAAGGAACCAACTTTAAGTAGAACAGGAGCTTCTCACAGTCCCTCAGTCCTTATCTGATCTCTGTGTTCTAGGCCAAGACCATCCTAATTCAGAAACATTTGCTCACATATATTATTATAGTTATATTTGCCTTTAGGAGTCCAAAGAAAATGAATATTTTTCTGACACCTTTAGGAGTCCAAAGAAGAAAAATATTTTTCTGACATTCTTTATCAATTTAGTGATTTAAATGCATCCATAATTTTGCTCTACCATTACTAAACCACTTTTCACCGACTTTTTGTCTATAGGAAAAATATTCATTTCCTTGTCTAGTTAAATGGGGTCAGTCATGGGAAAAGTTCTTAGTAAAATGCAAAATGTTGAGAAGATTGGAGAGAGAAACTCCATCTTCTATGAGGCCTGGGTCCAAACTTTAGGATTCCCTTCTTTAAGAACTGACTTCTTGTGTGGACTTAATTCTAAAAAAATCCATGGTCCACATGAAATCTACCATGAATTGTTCCCATATCACAAAGTATAATGTTCTCTTTTTTTTAACCAGAATTATATGTAGGTATAAGGCAAAAAATTAAAGTTTGCTTATTATTTTAATTTGCCAGCACTTCTGAATCATTTATCTTTAAGAGGAGAATAGCTGCAAACCCAAGGTTTAGTTTTTAAATGCACAATGTCAAGGTCTTGCCAATATCTAGGTACTCTCCAAAATGTATCCCAGATTTGTGATTCTTTCTGTTGTGGGACTCATTAATAAAGAAAAATTTTCTTTCCTGAAAATTGGCTGGTGAGATCTTCAGGGTGGTTGCATTTTAATGGGGTGCTAAACTATAAAACCCCTTTTCATGTTGTATAACTGTCATGTGGAAAGGAGAGTTAACAAGAATCAACTGATTAAAGTACATATAAGAATTGAAAAGAGGGTGAGTCTCAAATATATAGTTATTTTAAATTAAAATTTTCACATAATTATTAATAAATGTTAACCCGAAATGTATTCACATGGGCTATTGAAAATATTTGCTGAACTTATAATTTTTGGATCAAACCAAGAAGTGTAGCAAGCCATATTAATAAAAATTCTTTTTCTCCATCTGTTCTGTTATTGAATTGTATATGCAACACTTGTGAATAATCTAGGACCTCTTTCTGACATGTTAATGCTTATTGTATTTTAATATGCTCATAAATACTAACATGGCAGTTAAGAAACTTGGATTAAGCAAGAGAGACTTCCAAAACATATTAGAACAAATAGTGAATACAGACCAGTGAGCAAATGCATGCATTTTGCTGGAGATATGAGTTTTAACAATTGCATCAAGAAATTCAAGAAAGAAGTTTGTCAAGCATTAAACAAACACCCTTTTGGGAGTTCATGCAGCATAGTAGGAAAGTATGTAGACTTGGTGTAATGTAGACCTGAGTTTTGAATTCTGGCCCTACTAAAGTATAATTTTGTTTAATTTATTTAGCCTTCTAAAATGAATCCTCATCTCTAAAATATGGACAATAACTGCCCCTACTCCATACTTGATATGTGTATTAACTTTGAGATACATATTTTTAAAAATCATTGAGTATATTGTCTGCCTCAGAGCAAGCACTCAATATGTAACAGCCATTATTATTGCTTAATGATCTGCAACAACCAAAGTTGATCTGCAACAACTAAATTTCCATTAAAAGCTCATTGTAGTTTACTACTTTTCACAGTACTTAAGTAATTACATAATTTATTTTTAGGAAAAAGTATTTGAAATGAAATGAAAAACTAATAATTTGTAAATAAAAAATACAAATTTAAATGTAATATTTTAAAGTGAAAACATTGTCCATTAATATTCATCTCTGATGTAAATTAGCATTTCAGAAATGGTAAGATTGTTACCTAGTGGCTAGGCTATATCAAACCCAAAACCATTTCTGTTTTGCTTTAAAGATATACAAGTTTCTTTTGCTTGAAAATATCCTATATATGTTCTTATAAATCTGGTTATTCCCTTTACTATACAACCTGTAACTTTACTGATAAAGTCACACAAATTAATTTAGGGGGCACTACTCTATCTCACTAGAGGAGGGGATCCACTTAAAATAATGCTCCGTGCTTATATTCCTTTTGGAATCACCCATTCCCTATCTCTTGGCTACTCCACTGTTGTACACAATAAATTTGCCAAACATGTAACAAGGCTGGAACCTTAACACCAGGCAGACTGGCTCATGAGCAAGTAAGAACACTTCCAAACACATTTTTTCATTTGCTTTTTATTTGTTTTCTTTACTTACCTATTCAAACCCTTCATTGTTCTAAGAAGAACTAGACTAAATGCTTCTAAAATATGTTTTCAAGCATCTTCTCTATTTGGCAGGTTGGTTACTGGAACGACATGGACAAGTTAGTCTTGATTCAAGATGTCCCCACTCTTGGCAATGACACAGCTGCTATTGAGAACAGAACAGTGGTTGTAACCACAATTATGGTAAGTGTTGGTCTATGCTTTATGGTGTTCCGTTTTGTCCACAGGCAATTCTAACACCCCAGCGATGGTGAGCAGGCAGGGCAAAGCTGACTGTTAGCAATGGTAACATGGGTGTTCTGATCCACAGAAGCCTATAGAGGCTTTGAATAGGTTCATCCTAAGCCTTGAATACATATGGTACTTTTATTTGTATTATCTTTTGTTACATTGCTGTTCTTGGAAAAATGCTCAGATGTTAAAAATTGAGACTGTCTAATTCTAGTTGGAAATGTATGAAATGCTAAGACCCTAAAGCACAAAACAGTGAACATGACAAAAGTCAACCGCCATCACATAAATATATCCAGTAGTAAACATATTATTAATGTTACTATGTTTTTAAAAATTCAATGTAATTATAATTAATAGTGTTTAAAATTATAATTTTCAGGTAGTTTAATGACCGGATAATGATTTGTATTGTCTGTTTACAATAGTGAAGATGTGACTGTGAAGATTTTAATGAGTATGATTTACATAACTAAATGCTTTAGGAATTAATTTTATTTTATTTTTATTTTGAACGTGAAAAGAGTTTTCTTCCACCGATTATTTTTCTCATTGACCAGTGAGAAGTACACATTATAGTTTAGTGAACTTCTAAAATTAAGAAGAGTATGATTGCTTCATTCAGCCACATCACAAAATGAAAAGTCCTCTAAATTTTAAGGCTGCTTTTTCAAAGAGATTCTCATGAAATTACCTTTTAAATAATAGAATATCTTATATATTTTTCTCTTCAAAATCAAACATGCCCTTTCGAGTCAATGCTAGTCAAAAGAGATCAACAATCGGTGACCTTTTCTATCTCATTTAAAATTATATATACTCAGCTCAGTGACTCTGTAAGGCAAAACATATTTTAAATTATTTATGGAGCCCTTACTCTAAATAAAATGGAAGTATTTATGTAATTTGGTTTTTAGCTTTTGTCATTTTAGTTTCAGGTCTTTAGTAATGTTGAGTTGTTTCCATAAAGTAATATTAAATGAAATGAAAATGCCAGAGAGAAGCCTTCATATGTTGCAATTAGTTTTATCTGTGTTGCATCACCAGTCAGCAATTTGATGTAATCTGACAAGCCTTCAGCAGAAGTTTATGATTTTAGAATGCAAACCAACCAACAGCAGTTTTTGTGTAAACCTTCCAACTTAATTGTGTAATATTTGCATGGGACTTGAAAAGCAATATATATATGTTTCTTTTCCTAAAAACAACACAGTAATGGAAAGTCATACTTCAGTACAGTCCTCCTCTTTTCAGCCTCTGATGAAGAATCCTATTTTAAGAAATTGATCAAGAAAGAAAAGAGTTCCACGCTGTTCAACCATTCCTAACTAAGGCTCAAGTCTTGTTCTCCAGTGTAGTAAATTTAAGCTTATTTTTCATGTGGGATTCTTCTTCGATGACCAACTCTGGACTACCAGAAAAAAAAAAAAATTAAGTTCTGTGACTTTTCTGAGATACTAGAACTAAAGAAGAATTAATCTTTCTCAAGGAATAGATGTTGAAAAAGAATCACTTAGCGATTCTGACATAACAATTCCCATATATTTAAATGAGGTCACTGTACGTAAATGATGGAATTATATCACTCCATTTCCAAGGGTAGATTTTCTATAAGTGAATATCTCAGAATTTGTGTGCTTGTTTTCTGAATATATACAGTTGTTTTCTTTAAAGATCTCTTGGAATTTTGCCTGTTCTGTGTGAAATAAAGTGTTTTAATGTGCATTATAGGTATGATATAGAGAATCTCCTTTCCATCCCTGTTGCTAAAGGGACTGGACAAATAATTCCTAAAACCAAAATACTGAATTAATTTTGCAAGTATGGCTAGTTTTCAGGAAGCATGCTATCAAAAAATATAGTAAAAAATGACTGAAAAATCCAACTGTTTCATACGCATATATATAAAGGATATTCTGTAAAGTTATATGTTGTTTGACAGTAAAGTCATTAATATTTTTGCTATCAAAATAGTACAATACTAGTATCTGTCTTTTTGTATGAAAATGTAATCTTTATATAAATAATACCTCTGGTATTTGCAACTGCATAATCATTCAGTAATTCAAAAAGAATTACTAGAATCCTTTCCCTGAGAGTGTTCCTTCTATTTGCTTTTGTTGAAAATGGTAGTCCAGGACTTATGACATCCCTCCACTTCATTCATTATGAAAGAAATCTCTTGTAGATAAACAAGATTTTGGCATCTGCATGTAATTATCCCCAAATTCAATTGAAAATTCCCAACACAGGTGGAATTGGCTAGATATTTTAATATATGTGTTACCTGTATCTAGATACAGAAGAAGGCTGAGAGTGAGCACTGGATATAATTCATTTTGATTGAAATTGATATGGTGTTAATGTTCTTCCAGTTGTCTGTCCTTTGTGTATGTTGTTATTTATATGTTGATACACTGTAACACTATATGCTATTGCTAAATAAAATTGATTGAGAAATTCAGTTATTCATAAATATTTATTGAGCGTCTACTTTGTGCTAGGCACAGTTCTAAGCCCTGGGAATATGTCACAGACAAAAATCCTGCACTAAGTGAAACTTACAGTTTATTGAGAGAAAGCAGACCAGAAACATAAGTAATAATTATATTAGCTATCTTTATTAAATATAATGTAGCGTTAGCTTTTTATGCTGTTGAAAATTATTTTTCCTTATAACAGTGTTATATAGCTATAATGTGATTTTCATTTTAATAATAAATTTATTCTACCTGAATATAATCATCCAGAATATACCACAGCTAAATCTAATAGAAAATAAAATTAATATGGTCATTTTTATCTTTAAGTTTTGTTGACTGAAAAATTTATAAAATCAATAAAATTCATAAGACTGTGACCATATTGATTTAACTTTCTGAATTAAAAGTAATAATTTCTGCAAATAACCCAAAGAAGCCAAATCTGTTCTATGTGGTTTGGATAAATACAGCAATTGAGTGAAAAGCAGTTTACAGTAGATCTTGGTAGAAGGGAGGGTGGTGTTTTCCTCTGTAATCTTGCTATTTTCTTGGCTATTGAACGCTCTGGAAAAGGGAAGATAATACAGTGATGTTTCTTCAGACAAGCTCCTTTTTTTTTTCCCCAAAGCTTTATTACCAAAGTTAAGTGATGCTTATGATGCATTGCTCAACTACAAAGATATTTCTTACCATCTCATGAACATAATAATCCTTTAGGCAAATTTTCCATAAAACCAAATTTATTCACTCCAGTATCAGAATTACGTTACAAATCTAAAAGCAATTATCCTTATCACACATAATCTTTCCAGAGGTTACTTTTTGTACATTTTAATGAGATGTTTGATATTTTATCTCCTCTATGTATAATGCTGTAGAGGCACTATACATATATCTGCATTATAATAACATACACATTCATCTTTATATAAAATATATTATATGTATATATACATACATACAGAAAATTAAAATGTATTTATTTTCTTCCTTATACCAAATATTAATTTTCCTCTTTCACATACATCACTCACTGAAGAGCTTATAAATCAATTAATTTTAAATAAATTATTCTGACTAAATTTAAAGTGGTGCAGCCTTTAGATTTATTCATTTTTTCCTGAATTGAATAATGATATCTTAATCTTCACTTTTATGAATTTTATCCATGGGGTAAATTATGTACATCCATTAGGATTTTTTGGAGAGAACCAAATATTCACATAGAAAACAACATTGGTTGACACTGATCTTATTAACAACTTTCAATAATAATTGTAGTAATTATATTCATGATATTTAGAAAATGTTGAAAACTTTCTAACAAGTATCTTCTTTCAATAGTTCTACTTTTGCTAAATACAAATAATCCAAAAAAAAAATCCTTGGTAGGAAAATTATACATTATTGATTTAAAATCTTCTTAATTAATTTACACAAATACTTTCATAAGCAAGCCCTAATGTAGCAGCTTTAAACAGAGTAATTTCTTTCCTAAAATAGCAGGGCAGATGTAGAAGCCCATTCATGAGAGAAACTATCTTAATATAAAACTCATATTCACTGATAAGTAATGCAATAACTTCTAAGAAATTACCATCCTACAGAGCTCAGTAGTTGATAATAATCATGGCAGGTTGTATACATAAGACAGAAATAAGAGGTTACTCTATCCCTCTGATTGTTCGATTTTTATTCAAAATCGAACACTTGGGAATTCATAAGGCTGTTTTAAAAAGACACCCCACATATCCTCCTTAATGATTTGCCAGAATGTATTCATTATATTGAAAAGATTTTGTATTTTCTTCACCCATAGTAGCCCCTAAACTTTGTATTAACTCTAGTATGAAGTATTTGAAGACCTAGTTGCAGACAATTTGTCAGATTAATCATGGAAGAAATGAGGAGGTTGAGCAAATGTTGAGCATTTGCTACTCTTTTGTATTTGACTTGAAAGAAAAGAAAAGCAATAGGAGACACAGTCAAAGAAACAGCAGAGCTGAGCAACCATGAGAGACCATTTAAGGAAAGCCTTTCTCTCCTTTCAACATCCCCACTTCCCTGCGTGCGATCATGTCATTTCTCTTATGCTGTCTACATCACCCATCCTGAATCTCAGTAATTGTTTATGCCCCTGGATGGGCAAAAATTCTAACTACATTTCTAATCAACATCTGCAGTAAGCTGAAGGCTTTTCTAGACTTTGTTGGTTTGCTCAGCAGGAAAACAATGACATGATGTACCTCTGCTGTCCAAAATAAAAAAGAAAGAAAATACTGAAAAAATGAAAGAAGACATTAAATAAATATTTTACTCATATAGACACGTGCCTGTTCAGAAGAGATAACCTAACCCTTGTTAATATTGACTTTCCTTTAGAAAACCTGAACCAGCATTTCTAATAAAATTACTTTATAATGATATCACTATTTGGAAAACACTGATAGGCCAGGCTATCTTTGTATTTATTTAATGCCTTCTATGTGCCAGACACTAGGAGAAGAAATTGAAAGTCTTTATCTACACTGTTTACCTAGAAGATTATGTGAAGAATTTCATTAAATGAATTTCATAAAAATGCAGAAATACATTTCTTTAATCTTGGTCCCTCTCTCATTAAGTCATATGAAATCTCACTTAATGGCACATATTTTGATAAATCAATAATAGCTTCAAAAATTTACAGATATTTTATTAAGTCATATGGAAAATCAATTAATTGCACATAGTTTGATAAATGCTGTAGCTTCAAAATTTTCCAGATATTTCAAAATATAACGTCAGCCGAGTACAGTGGCTCACACCTGTAATCCCAGCACTTTAGGAGGCCAAGGCAAGTGGATCACTTGAGGCCAGGAGTTTGAGACCAGCCTGGCCAACATGGTGAAATCCCATCTCTGCTAAAAATACAAGAATTCGCTGGGCATAGTGGCATGGTGCCTGTAATCTTAGCTACTTGGGAGGCTGAGGCAGGAGAATCGCTTGAACCTGGGAAGTGGAGGGTGCAGTGAGCTGAGATCACACTACTACACTCCAGCCTGGGTGATAGAGCACTAGACTGTTTCTCAAAAACAAACACAAAATAAAATATCAAAATACAGGGTCAGCTCCCACATCTTTCACTTGTTAGCTCTGTGAAATTGAACAACTGCCTTAACCTCCCTGAGTCTTCATTGTCCCATCTGCAAAATGGGAAATGCCTACCTCAATGTGCCAGTGTCAAAAGTAAATGAAAAGACATGAAGAAATTTACTTCGTGCCCGATACATAGTAAGCACTAAGTAAGAGCTACCATTGTTTAGCATCACTGTATTTTATTATTGTTCCTTCCACCTTATACTCCTTTGCCATCATTACAAAAAAATATATATAGTGAGTTTGATTGCAAGGGAACAAGGAGCATATTTTACTTATTTTTGTGTCCCTATCACCCAGCAAACTGCCTGGCACACAGTAAGTGCTTAATAAATGTTTGATTAAATAATAAATACATAGCTATTATTGAAGTAAATTGTTTATTATATAATGTAGAAAGCAGCAAATTAGATTTTAAATACTAGCTAGAGAAACTTGCACACACAAGCTAATAAGTAATATGTGTACTTGAGTATAAAAATTCATGTGTTCAAATATTGCAGATTTTTGAATTGACCTTCAGTCTTAGTACCAAATGGAACCTTAACTATATCCCTTTTGAAAAACTCTTAAGCCTGTTACACTCATAGATGATAGTTGTACAGCCATTTCAATCTGAATTTAAATATTTTACAAATATGTGACGCTTGCTTTTTTCTACATACTCTTTCATATTTTAAAAAGATTACTGTGAAAAAAGAAAATGTAACAATTAGTTCACAATAACTAATTCATCAAATTCAAAAAAGTTAGAGGCATTGGAGGCTTCTGGGTCATTTGGCCATGCCAATCCAAGGCAGGATTAGAAGGACCAATCCTGGACAATTGCCCACCATAGAATAATTTAGGGCATCTCTATGAGAAAATAAAAGGTCCTGTAATTCACATGTTTTATTAAATTTTTAAAAGGGGTTTCTACATTTATGAAGTACTTAAAAAACAAAATCAGCAGCAGTGTAGGCTGCCATGTTATTCATAAATTACCTTCTAGGGCTCCAAGAGCAAATTCAGCTTCCCCAATTATGAATTTTGGGGGGAAAAAGAAAAGACTTTTATGAGAGATTACAAATAAATGTTACACTATAATTTACAAAATATAAGTACATTATCTCCATAATCTTGTAGCCAAAGGTGGTCACCGCTTGTCTGCAAATGACTGGAAAAACTCAGATGTGACCAGGGACTCTCTCCATATTACATTCACCAGGTCTATCTTTGGTTAGCAGCTTTAGGTACCACTTACAAAATGAAGTCCTTCTTGCTAAAATGTCTCTTTAGTTCATGTCTTTTAATGGTTCAGTTTAAGGGTGTGTGTGTGTGTGTGTGTGTGTGTGTGTGTGTGTGTGTGTGTTTAACTGAAAACTGCCCAGTAATTATTAGCCAGTGGTAAACTTTTTCATTTTATCAGGATTTTCATCATAATTATTTATCAGTTTTCTGTCTCATTTGCTTAGAAAACTAAATGGAAATATTACTTGAAGTGTGTGCTCATTACAACTTGAGTAAAATTAGTATCACTAGGGAAATATTTTATATTACCAATTTTTTATATTTATATTACTAATTTAAATATTTATATTAATAATTAAAGTTCATGGAGCACAAACCATATTTAAAGCCAAAATATTGGACAACATTAGGAAAGCAAATTTAATGCAAATAACCATATAAGAATTTTTAAACTATTAATTCATTTTTTTCTTTGAAAAATAGTGTATCAAGTGCCTGCTCTGAGAAAGTCATCTTGCTAAACACTAGAGATCAAAGAAAAATGATGTAGCCTTTTCCTTAAACAAAGTCACAGTTTAATGTGGTTAAATAAGATGCAGAAGATGGAAACCTACGACCTTGAATTAGTCTTTATTAGGTGACACTGACTACTGAATAGTCTTTAATTTCATGAAATATTTTAGAAATACTAATTTCATTGTCAAAGAAAATAATTTATGCTTCTCTAGATAATTATTGACACTTCTATCACAGTCGTAGTGTTAGGTTTTCATACTTATTCCAATAGAAAATTAAATATTTCAATTTTAGCATCCAATGCAAAGCAATTTAATATATTCTAAGCTTATTTATATATTCATCTGTTTTATTATTGATTTCTAACTACAAAAAATCAGTATGTGTACCAATACTAAATATAATCTTTATGTCAAATTCTGAAATTGGAAAGTTACATAAGATTTTTCAATTGTTTTAAAATTTCTCCTTTACAGTTCTACTTCTCTCATTATAGGAATCCCCATATGTTATGTACAAGAAAAATCATGAAATGTTTGAAGGAAATGACAAGTATGAAGGATACTGTGTAGATTTGGCATCTGAAATTGCAAAACATATTGGTATCAAGTATAAAATTGCCATTGTCCCTGATGGAAAATATGGAGCAAGGGATGCAGACACAAAAATCTGGAATGGGATGGTAGGAGAACTTGTTTATGGGGTAAGCAAATCAACTTATTGAAGAATTTACTTACAAATACCTGAAACTTCTTTTCCCTTGGGCACATAACAATTTTTAAACGTCTATTACTGTTTGTAAAATTTGCAGCTACATTCCAACAGGCATATACAATGTTCAAATCTTTTTCTATTTCATTTCATTAATAATGCAATACACAAACAATGAGAGAAGCTGACACTTGATAAGATCAAAATCAGAAAGAAGATAAAAATTCAGAATATGCAGTCCTAGTTTTAATTGACTTTAAGATCTGGGGTGATTATTCTTTTAAGTTTGATGCTGCTGCGTATAGCACTACAAAACAAATCTAATAGTAATCTGTTATTTGAGAACTGTAGGAAAAGATTTCCTTAAACAATGTAAAGTTGGTCATTATTTTAGATATTTATTTATACGTCTGTTGTTTGTAATTATTCATAAATATCTTTTAAGTAATTGGTGAGGCAATCACTATACTAGTTTAGCCTCTATTAAATATTCATCAATAATGTCAGATTCTTACAATTCTGCTGAACACAGTAAATTTAAACTTTACACAGTGCCATCATTTTTTATACTAGTATACATAGCAAAACACAAATGCTAGAATTTATTCCAAAATGGGCCTCACATGAAAGAATGTTATGCCCCTCCCTCAAGTATACTTGATATCGGGTATACACATTCATACCTGAGGACAAATACAGCATAAATGCTTCTCCCTGAATCATAGCAATATCAAGATCAATGTCTTCAGCTACCACTGCAAAATGTCAAAATCAAACGGGAATTATCACATGCTAGTGATGGCATAATATTTCAGAAGTCCAGAAATCAAATCTATAGCTCATAGGAAACTCTAATCATCAAGTAATCAATAAAGTAACATATACTTGAAATGTAATATGAAATGTCTTAAAAGCCAATTTATATTTCACCTTCAAAATGTCGTCTGATTAATCCTCACAAGACCCCTTTGAAATGGGGAATTACATAGAGAGTCATTTTTCTTCAGAAAACAATAAAGATAGAAAGATTTAAAACATAACTGGAGTCCTAGGAGAAACTCACATTCCAAGCCAGAACTGCAATTCAACAGTTTCATCATTCTGCATCTTGCCTTTTAGACCATGAAGCAATGAACATTCTTTGCACAGTATACACTAAAGTAGCTAAAACCTCTGCAGAATGAGGAAATTGCTTGACATTATGAAGCAATTGGTTAGTTTTATATCCATGGGAAAGAACTGCTGACTGCTTAGGTAACCCTAAAAAAAATGCAGTTTTAAAAAATAGCAAAATGTATTTTACCACAGAGTTTATCAACAGTTTTATATTGAGCTTTAAATTCCAAAGAAAAAGGGTTTCAAAAGCATTTGTTCTTTGGTTAATATTTTAAACTTTTGATACAGTAAGCATATCTTAGACATTAACATTATCCATGTTGTTAGAACTACTGTAATTCATTTTTTTCAGAAACTACTCTTGCATATTTCATGTCAAAAAATCACACTTGGATTACCGTTTAGTTATAGACAACATAACTGACGTGAGTTACTTTCTGGGGTATTTGTCACACATCTCTTCTCTGGAGTCCCTACCCACAGGGCAGCCCAGACTCACTCTTTTGCAAGTGTTCTGATCACATTTCAATCAAGGGAAATTGTTTAAATAGTGAAAACAAAGGATATGAAGGGAGTAGCATAATTAGCGAAAAAGTTATATCAGTCCTATACTCATCACAATAACAAGAAGTCCCAAAGTTATGCAGTTCTCAGAGAGACAAAAGATAACATAATGGTTATTAATATCATCATATTCATTCCTCAACCAGTCTGCAAGTGGTTAAAGACTCCAGTCTCTGATGCTTGGGTTGTCCACTTTTTCCCAAAGGGAGTCTTCTTCCATGACTCTTAGACATTCCACAGTCTAGATACTTTCCATTTTGGTGTCTACAAAGTCTATACTTGTTTCTCAACATTGTTTGTTTTTTGTTTTGTTTTGTTTTTGTTTTACTTTTTTTTTTTCCTACTGCTAATACATATATGAGTGCCTTGTTTCCAGGGCCCTAGGTAAAACTAAATCCATTCTCTTCTATAGAACAAAGCCTATTATGTCTAAATGATTAACTCTGCAAAATTGTTAACTTTGGATTAATAATTTTTTTTTACTTTACTCCTTGCAAACTTTGCTGCTATAATTGTTATGCAGATTGTCTGTGAAGCAGTTACATGCAATCCAACATACCATATGTGGGGAGCCAGAAGACCAGAACCTCTCTCACACTCTCAGGCCCTTTTTGCTACCATAGCTGTGCACTAAAGCAAGTTCACCCTGATTTCCTGCATGTGCTGCTCCAGGGTCATCTCCTGGGCCTCTACTACACTTGGGGTGTGTGTGTGTGTGTGTGTGTGCCGCGCACCTGCATTTTAATCCGAGGGAACAGTTCTCAAAGCACATTCCATAGTCCACTAGCACCAGAATTACCTGTGGGAGACATTTTACGCACTCAATTTGGGCATTATGAAACGAAACAACGCACATGTAATATCCCTGATGTTGGCAGAGGAAGTCCATGTGTAGTCTATCTCTATCCCTCCTAGTCTTTTTCTAGACTCTCACACAGCTAAAACTTTTTGAAAGTGTCCCTCATTGGACATGGATGTCACCACCTTCATCCCATGTTCACTTTCTATGGCACTTAGTTTTCAGTTCAGAAAACACCTGCATTTCTCTCATATGTCTTTCTTTTTAAGGCTTCTTCCCTCACTAGTGGGAACTTGTATAAATAAAAATTTCAGAAGCTACCTCACAGAACAATGTAGTATATGAAATGGGATATTTTAAGTAAGTGAAAAGAGGTGTTATTTATTTATTTCTGTTGGTACAGGAGGGCAACTACTTGGAAAATTAGCAATTTTCGAACACTTCATCATTGAAAATACCAAAAAGTGATAGGAGAATTATAAATACTAGAATAAAATATATAATATTGATAGGATAAGGATTTTTCTAACACATGAAACCAAAGACTGGAAACACACACAAAAAAATAATTTTATATGGCTACAACAAAATTTAAAACCTATGTATTACAAGAAAAAAGTCTTGAATTAAGTTATGGAAACAAAACAATTGATGAATAGGGAAAAATATTGCAACATATATGTAACATACAAGTGAATATTTTAAATATATTTTTAAATGCTCACAAATTAGGAAATAAAAAATGAATATTCAATATGGAAAAGTGGGGGCATATTACGGTAGTAATACATAAAAGAACAAGTAGCTATTTGTTTTATAAAAACAAATTCAAATTAACACAAGGAGATCTAATTTCCTTCCAGAAAATTGGTGAAGACAAGTAAAGATACACAGGGCTTTTCTGAGGTTTAAGACTAAACATGCCTTTACATAGTGCTGGGGACAGTAGAAATTTGCATAAACTTTCTGGAGAAAAGTTGGGCAAAGCATATGATGAGCATTAAAAAGATTATTACTGTTCAGACCAGCAATTCCATTTCTAGAAATTTATCTTAAGTAAATAAAATGTGCTAAGATTTATCCTCAAAGATGTTCATGGCATCACTGTTTTAAATTTTGTAAAACTGGAAACAATATGAATATCCCGCAAAAGTAAAAAATGGTGGAGTACCTTTTGACATATTTCCAATAAAGCATTTGCAATCATTACAACTTACTTTTAACTTATATACTGAAATGGGAAAATGTTCATTATAACTTTTGAGAAGATAAATGAATAGGGAAAAATATTGCAACATATATGGAAAATACAAGTGAATATTTAGAACATTATATCTTACAATTTTTTGTTCTATAATGGTTTTAAATTCTTTTTTAAAAGAATTTTAAAATATTCTTCATAGAACAAAGTCTTTCAGAGTATATGGAAAGAAAAAACAAGAGTAGAGGATGGGAATAAAAATAACGTTTTCTAATGGGCTGAGTCATACTTATAAAATAATTAAAATATACCAATTTTTCTACAGCAAGTTCACATATCACTTATGTAACAAAAATTATACATGTAATTATAACTATGGGGAAAATAATAACCTTCCAGCAATGGTCTAACTCTTGTATACATGGGCATTTATGATGCAAAAAAAGTGTATTCCCTCTTGAAGGTATATGTGATCAACTCTCAGTCACCCAGGGACATGTGACTAAAATGTACCTTCTGCATTCTAACTCTCCAGTTGCCCTTGTATCAAGCCCCTGGCCACTGTATAGAGCCTGAGGATATGTAGGAGTCAAAGTAAGAGTGACAGCCTCTGTGTAAAAATTTATATATCTGAATATGTTTCTGATGCCATCTTAATGTCAAATATTTTCCTTTAAAAGTAAATAGTCAAAACTGCCTTTTATTTGTAGATCATGTGACAGTTTAGTTTTTACACTACACCTGATTTCATTTGATTTTAGAGGTGGTGTGATTTTACACTCTACACCTTATTTCACTTTATTTTAGAGGTGGTGGTGATTTAACAGAAGCAGCCCAGGCTCAAATCCCAGAGTTGCCATGATCTGTAAATCTCCCTTCTCTAGTCTCAGTTTCATCATCTAGACAATGATAAACATATGATGCTTATGAGGACTAAAAGAGAAGCTATTCAAAATATTTAGATCAGCATCACATCAGCATCAGCCACAGAATCCCTCAATAAATGCTCACTATTACCTTATTAAGGTTTCCAATAAATAATTATAATAACTTTATGAGGTAAAGTGGGGGAAAGTATGCTCATTTTACAGTTATAGAAACAAGTTAAGAAAAATTGTTCAAAATCACAGAACTCTAAAAATGGAAGCTGTCTTATGATTATAATATCTTAGAAATGAATCTACTGTTTTTTAAAATCTTTTTTTAAAAATGAAGATAGAGAAATCAAAATATGTGATAGCAAGAAATAAATGCCAATTTCCAGATTTTTGTGTGTGTGCTGAATTGGAAAATATTGTCAAACAACAGATTTCCTTTTATCATACAAGCACAGGCTTTATGATCTGTTTTCTCATAGCTGGAAATGAATAAAAAAGAAAAGACTGTTTGAAATTTGCAATTCATAATATTAAGGGATGGCCAAGTAATGAATCAGTGGCAATGTTCCAAATGAAATAGAAAAGACTGCGACACAGCAGTATTCCTGGCCAGGAAATTCAGAAATTCAGCCATATGAAAAGACTATCAAGTCTCCTCTGCACTGCCCAGATCCTTAAAGACTAATACAGTAATTTGAGTTCAAGTTATTTTTGCTTATCCACCCTTTCTCTGTTTCCTACCCTTTTATTTAATTACTCAATCCAATAAAAATATTTTGTGCTATTTAAGTAATATTTTATGAAAAAATTGCTATTCATTTTTGTATCTATCACTATCCTAATTCATTGTTGGCACTCCAAAAATAAATGTAGAATAAATGCATGACTGATTAGCTTTAAATGGACCACTCCAGTGCTAATTGCTTCATGAAATCCATTAACCTATGTCTCCATGTGTTTTTTCTCTTATAGAAAGCAGAGATTGCTATTGCCCCTCTGACAATCACTTTGGTACGAGAGGAGGTCATTGACTTTTCTAAGCCCTTCATGAGCTTGGGCATATCTATCATGATCAAAAAGCCTCAGAAATCCAAACCAGGAGTGTTTTCCTTCTTGGATCCTCTGGCCTATGAGATTTGGATGTGCATAGTCTTTGCCTACATTGGTGTCAGCGTGGTCTTATTCCTAGTTAGTAGATTTAGTCCATATGAGTGGCACACAGAAGAGCCAGAGGATGGAAAGGAAGGACCCAGCGACCAGCCTCCCAATGAGTTTGGCATCTTTAACAGCCTCTGGTTTTCCCTGGGTGCTTTCATGCAGCAAGGATGTGACATTTCACCCAGGTTAGTTTCAGAGCTCTTAAGCTCCTCACCGATTTCCCAGTAATAATAAATGTTGTGCAGATTCTCTCTCTACTTTTCCTGAAGACAGAGGACTATTTGAAGCAGAAAAGACTTGCAATTCCCAAATAGCAATTTCTTCCAAGTTAGCACAAAATGTGGATATATCATAAACATTAGCTTCTCAATAGCAAAGAAACTATGCATTCCATCAGAGCTCTCAAAAATCATTTAGTATTAGTATTTCATTCACTGATTTGCTAAATGAAAACTGAATTCTAAATTGTAGAATAGGAATTCATTTTCATTTTGTTTCCTTTTATAAAACAAACACTTTTGCTATTATTGCTGTTTTTTGCTATTATTGTTGTTGTTCATTTCCAAAAATTAATGTTGGACTTAATTCTCATCTCATATAGCTTAAGGGAGATTTCTGCCACGGAATTACCTAGAACCTGAGTCAGCATAGTAGGTACCAGATATACATTGTTTTATATAGCAATCCATAAATTAGCTAAGCAATAGGCAAAAAACCAACAGTGCAAACACTACGCTAGTTTTATGGAAATCTACTTCAATATCTGTGGAGTCATGACTCCCTTCCTTTGGATACAACTAAGATATTATTTAGCCACTATATTCACCAAAAATGCAATCTTCTTTTGCAATAAATGATTTTTCTCATAGAGAAAGTAGTAGTTGAAGGTATGAGAAGAAAAATACTTACTTTAATTGTTGACTATATATTAGCACCACAAACACATGGATTTTGTTTTTCTTTTTAGAAATGTATGCTTTCTCAAAAGGAGGCATTTTTGGCACAATGTAGTTTGTGTTTCTTAAGACCTAAATTATAAATATGTTTAAATTCCAATAACATAGGAATCTGAATAAAAAACTTTAAATTAATGAACTAAAAAGAAATGAAAGCAAATCAAGTAATGGTTTTTAAAAGCCAGGATTAAGCAAATATTAAATTAAACCCAATAGATGTCTCTTTTATAATAACAAATATTATAATAAGGAAGTATTTTAACTTTGGAAATGCCATGAAAAATATGAAATCATTCTTTAAGTTTTAAAACAAATGTTTTACAACAATTTGCCACAGGAATTTTAAGTCATTTAATGATTGCAATAAATAAGTTCAATGATGAACATTCTCTGGATTTTTTTACTCACTCTCTTCTCACATTTGCTCTGCTTTCATACTCGCCCACACATCCTTGATACCAAAGAAAGAGCGAAGAGAGAAAATCATTATACCAGTGTGTAAAGATACTCTGAGACATGGCTTAAACTTCACTCAGCTCAGGAATTGAATATCAAGCAAACAAACAAACAAAAATCTCAACTATGGTCACTTTGAGACCAATTCTAGACCCTCATGGAGTCCAATCTCACCTTGGCCTATGTCTCATTGTCCCAGCAGGGCTCTGACTAAAGGTAAAAACAAGTTCTCTCTCTTAGTCTCAGTAAGGTATCTACCAACTTGCATCAAATCTAAGACCCCAGTCACTGTTCATATGTATTGCTACTTTATGTGCCACGAAGAGAGAAATAATGCTGCCAATTAAACCATGATACCATATTTTATCTCATCAGTCATAGGCTGCATCCTAATTTCAGAGATGCTAAAAAATTAGGGCAGGAGAGTATTAATGAATTCAATGAAGTATTCCCCTTATGTAGCTGAAGAAAAGCATTAAGTTCTACATTTCTGCCATTTTCTTTAAACAACAAGAAAGAAATGGTTGTCATATTTTCAGTGGCATTTATATATTAAATATACCATAGAAGGCATCAGATTATGCAGAAATCTAGAATCATTCTTGAGTAGATGCTCAGAAAATAAAACAACACTTGCAATTGTTATTTTTAAATATGCATGATGAATTGATGGTATTTCTTTTCTTTCTCTATGTTAATTAGAGAAAGGAAAATGTGCATTATCTTATCCATGTTTAGATCCCTCTCAGGTCGAATTGTTGGAGGTGTTTGGTGGTTCTTTACACTCATCATTATATCGTCTTATACTGCTAACCTCGCTGCTTTCCTGACGGTTGAGAGAATGGTCTCTCCCATAGAAAGTGCGGAAGACCTAGCCAAACAAACAGAAATTGCCTATGGAACACTGGATTCAGGGTCAACAAAAGAATTCTTCAGAGTAAGTTAAGGAAAAAACTAACAATAAAATGTTTATCATTTTGAAATTCAGGCAATTTTTCCAATAATTATATTATTGGCTTCAGCTATTATAAGGTTTACAAACACAATGGTTAATAGCTATGTTTAAGGGTAATACTTCTAACTGGGTTTTATGATCACTTTATTTTGCAAAAGCTAATTGACTTATTCATATTGCAAGAGGAACACTCCCTAAGGAATAGTAACAATGAAAAGATAATTAAAACAACTTTATAACATAATTTATCCAAAACATTCCAAGGTTGATAATGCTAATACTGGATCTGACAAGACTGGAATTATGTATGTGTTTGGGCTGAAAGCTTAAAAATAAAAACTTAACTTTTGAAGAATACATGCAATTTACTGCATTTGAAACACAAAACCTTAATTGCAGATTACACTACTTATATGAGTCATATTATTCTATGATCTATCCTGTAACAATGGACTTCACAGCAGCATATTTGGTTTCTCACAAGATAATAACAGGAAGAACTTTTCAGTTCTAGGCACCTCTCTAGGACATTAATTATATGGCATTTAGTTTGTGCTGATTTCTCTGCTTTGCAGATAAAAATTTTCTAACTGATATAATTGCATTACATATATAGATTCATGTATAATTGCATTATATATATAGATATAATTGCATTATATGTCCCTTTGACCTTCCTTTGGAACAATAGAGATTTTTTTGGTTTGTGTGTGTGTGTGTGTTTGTTTCACTATGGGGATGAATTTTTTTTATCAAAAGACCCTTTTTCTATTCTTCTTAAATCTAGAGATATACACTTGGTAATGTCTGATAACAGATAGGCATTCATTTTGTGACTTCGGGACCAAAAAATTAAAAAGTTACCAGAGTGACATTTTTATAAATACTGAACTAGGTAAAAACAAACATATTTTATATTTATGTCAATTGTTTAAACACTAGAATATTTAATAGCATAGAAGATGGAACATATATTTTATTATTTCCTAAGCTTTTATGTGAAAGTAATGATAGTTCTTTGTTCATGCCTATATGCAGCACTTGAGAGATTACATTTTCATTTTAAATGTATTTATTTATAATCTTCTCACTCAACTCATCTTAAAAATTAAAAACAACAAAATGTGCTACTCCTTAAGCCAGCTTTAACTTTTGTATACTTGAATTTCTGTAAGATATTTATCCTTTGTAAAGATAATTTGATTATAGTATCCTAATATACTTCAGATGTTTATAAATATCATATCAAGAGCAAATCACTCAAAAACTCAAACTCATCCTTGGATATTGTTTAGAAAAGAAACCAGGCAATGAACAATGTACATGTCAACAATTTGGAGTATTATTAGGAATAATCTAAAATGTATAAGTTAATTACAAAGCACATATAGATTTTCTTAAAACTGTAAGTAATATTCATGACAGTAGATTTGATTAATAGTCTATGGATAAACTTGATTAAACAAACTGTTTTTAACTTACCTAGCACATCCCTATTTCTACACCTTAGTAACAGAAACATTACTACTCTAGTGTACTTTAGCATAATTTCAGTACCATGCTGTCAGTTTATAACTGCTTTCATCCTTAAGTAAGTACATTTTAATGATTTCACCTAAAAATCACTATGTATATGCACCAAAATAAAATACAAGTTTGTGCTATCATTTGCACTTTACTAAAAATTGATGACTGATTGCCATTTAAATAAAGACAATATTTGCAGGCTCATCATTCTGCCTTGAGTTGATAAAGGGAGGAAGAAATGCTATATTGATTCCCTGAAAATATTTCTAAAGTAACTCACTGTAAAGCTCTTTAGTGTTAAGCACACTGAAAATGCTTAATTCTAATCTTTATAAAGTTAAAAATGCTTAAATTCAAAAACTGGTGAAGTAGATAAGAAAATGTATTAAGAGAAATATAAGAATGAGGAAACCTGCTTCCTAGATTTATAGAGCCTTCCATACAAACTGTGCAGGCACCATTCCTTGTTTCCTTTCTCTCCCACCCAACTTCAGTTTTTAAATTGGAAGAGTTTTATAATATAAGTATTTATTGTTGCAGAACATTCTGAACTCTAATGGGACAAGAAAATAATTTCCCCTGGCAGCAGGGTTTCAGGAATGCATAAATTTGGGTTCTCTGATAAAATCTCATTCATTTCCTACCGTTTGCCTCCCTCCTCTCCCACATATGTTGAACTGGTTTAATTCAACCATTTGTCTGATGGGCTGAGAAAGCCAGAATGTGAAGGGTATTTTTGTACCTGTCGAAATCATTTTCTCAAAGGAACACAATAATGGTACATCTCTCAGCGCCACTAGGCTGCCTTAGGCAGTGACCTATACTCAGTGCTTCAAAAATATGTCACAGTTATAATCAACTGAAAAAAGAATTAAGCCGCAGGGGAAAATTACATCTGAATTCAACTGTTGCCTTGGTTTCACCCCATTATGAAATTTGATATGCTTCATGTGTTGTGCTTCTTGGTAAGCCTAAACATAGAGGCATTTAAAGAATCTGTACTTTAAATGCCAGCCTCTCTATTTTGGTACTTTCACATTATTACACACCTGACTTAAACACAGTGGTTTTCATTTCAATCAAGTTTTATCCTGTGCCTATCACAGTCATCAGCGAAATCATGAATGTATAAATGATGTGGATTACTATCTCAGGGTTTATAATATGACCAAATAATGCATTAACGAGCTCTCACTAGAACATCAGTCTTGCCAAGTAAGCTACTGGAAGGGGAAAATAATTCACCAGATAGCAATGAAAATATTTACTATAACACATGATATTTGTACATAGTTCCTATTAGAAGTAGAAATGGTGGACTACTTAATTTAGGGGAAACTAAAAGGATAGCACATTTTTAAAACTCCAAGAATTGTTTTAAGCAATAAAACAGTGCTTTAGATTGGATAATTCCTCATGCTTTGAGTTTCACAATAAAGATGAAATAAATCGATCTGAGATTAATTTTCTAACATCAAAAACTGATGACTTCTATCTTTTCACTTCCCATACCCCCATTTTTAAACAGATACTACAGTTGAAGGATTTAGGGACTTAAATGATTGTTTATCACTGTAATTGATACAGTGATGCTTGATACAGAGACGTACTGAGCTTGCTGGATCTGCAGAAATTTTCTTCAGTTTAGCCTGTCTCATTAAATTTATAAATATTTGCTTGCCCTTACTCTTTAGCAATCACTCTCTTGCAGTCACAGATAAAGCACAGGGATATTACTTCTAGTCCTTCGCAGCTCAATTCCCCCTTATCCCTCTGTCCTATGCATGTGATCTTATGAGAATCAGATTTTCTAAACATTAGCATGGTGACAAACCAGGCTAATGTTTTTATTCAAAACACTTGCTTTTATATTTCCACTTTATCTATATTATTAAATTTCTATTGTACCTAAGGCGTCTTGTTTTTAGCATAGCTACTCTATGGATTCCTCTTTCTTCCAGATTTTAAAAGGATTAATTCAACTTATTTTGCATTTAAGGTGTACATAATTCAATGTATTTAAACATATGCAGCAGTAATTTTCCACATATTAATATTATAGGAATGGACTATTTAAAAATATCAATGACCAAAAGGTACTTTATTCTTTTAAATAGATTCATTGGCTTTAATACTGTGCTTCGTTCTATAGTTAAGTGATCTCTAAAAACACACTTTTTCCATTTTGCAATGTTAACTGTTTAACTGTCTTGTTCCTTTAATAAGCTATTTAGCTGTAACTGGAAAATTGCCAAGTAATTGGTATGTTTTACATTCTTAATAAATTCCATAAAATAGTTCAATTAAAACAATATTCACACTGATTTTATTTCTTCTGTTTTCAGTGTAGTATACACAGTAAAGTATGCAATGTATGTGGAGCTCTATACCTTTTTGGGTGAAACTCTCAAATCAAAATTTAAATATATTTAAAAAGTAGTTATTCGTTTAAAGGAAATTTACCAGTACTTCTCTAAATATTAAAATTACCAATATAGACATTGAGGGACAATCTGTATCAAGTGATTCAGAGAGGTTACATTTTTCAGAACTTGTAATATGAAAGAATTTGTTCTCTGGAACAGAACTCTATTTTTAGAGATGGAATGAATAAAGCATGGCCACATGGCATTCCTAGTGGATGCTATACTTGAGGGTTTGGAATCCAACTACTCACCTGTCCAGGAAGGACATAGAATCTTTGCAATTTTCTAATATGCAGATTTTGTTGCCAGAGTAACCTGTCATTGCCTAAATACACACACACACACACACACACACACACACACACACACACATGCACACACCCCAATCTTTATGAGATTTTTTTGAAGTGTTAATAGCATAAAAACATTCCAAAATATACTAAAAGACATCAATTTCCCACCTTGATATTTATCAGCATTTGAATATTCATTACCGGCCAGGTGTGGTGGCTCAGGCCTGTAATCCTAGCACTTTGGGAGGCCAAGGTGGGTGGATCACCTAAGCTCAGGAGTTTGAGACAAGACTGGCCAACACGGTGAAACCCCGTTTCTACTAAAAATACAAAAATTAGCCAGGCTTAGTGGCAGGCCTCTGTAGTCACAGTTACTCGGGAGTCTGAGTTAGGAGAACTGCTTGAACCCGGGAGGCAGAAGTCACAGTGAGCCAAGATCATACCACTGCACTCCAGCCTGATGACAGAGTGAGACTCTGTCTCTGCCCTCCCCTCCCAAAATATGAATCTACCTTCCCATAAAATATCTTTCTCTTTGGTGTTCAAGTATGCAAATCAGTGATTGTGTGGTTTATTAGTTAGGTTTATTGATTACTTATTTCCCAACTGATGAAATCAAAATCTGAATCCTACTTGTATTTGTTTCTTTCTTTGCCATCTGAATAATTTGTCTTTGTCAAGGTATTCAAGTTATTTGTTGATTAGTGAAGAACTGCCTCTTGTTGAATTCTGTAATTTGGTAAACAAAAGAAGCTAAATATAAATAAATGTACATACTACTCAGCACTGGGCCTCACACAAAGACATAAGTCTGAATGGGGTCTTCATTACTTTTTTATTTGGACTCAGACACAGAATTGCAGCACCTTGTTATTGAAAACAAATGCAGTTGCACCAACAGGATTTGGGCTTTTCTTTCTTTTTTTTTTTTAGATGGAGTCTCACTCTCTTGCTCAGGCTGGAGTGCAGTGATGTAATCTTGACTCATAGCAGCCTCTGCCTCCCAGGTTCAAGTGATTCTTGTGTCTCAGCTCCCTTAGTAGCTGAAACTACAGGCATGCGTTGCCACGTCTGGCTAATTTTTGTATTTTTAGTAGACACAGGGTTTCAGCATGTTGGCCAGGCTGGTCTCGAACTCCTAACCTCAGGTGATCCATCCTGCCTCGGCCTCCCAAAGTACTGAGATTACAGTCTGAGCCACCATGCATGACCAAGGCTTTTCTATCTTATTAAATATATCTTTTGGAGACATTTGAGTTCACGTGGATATATTTTCACATTAAAATGTATGTGTGAATGAAAAGTCTAATGTAAATGCAGGTAACAAGAAAAAGAACCTAGGTAAATTAAGTACTAAGAGTAATGTGTTAATAGATAGAGATCAAATAGACAGAAGTAATTTATAAATAAGTTTCTTGGCTGGAGTCAAGGGGATTAGAATGGCCAACTCTCTAAAATACAAAATTGCACAATTGGAATCACGTCTCTTTACAGTTCAATATATGTTCCATTTGAAAATTTTCTCACAAAAAGTCTAAAAATGTTTCAATCAACCTAGAGTTTGATTCTTATGTTAGGGATATTTGGTTTGTAAGCTATAGCCTCTTCCTCTGGTGTTCAATTACTGACGATATGGACTGCATTTTTTTCTTTTTTTTTTTTTGAGACTGAGTTTCGCTCTTGTTGCCCAGGCTGGACTGCAATGGCGCAATCTCGGCTCACCGTAACCTCCGCCTCCTGGGTTCAGGCAATTCTCCTGCCTCAGCCTCCTGAGTAGCTGGGATTACAGGCACGCGCCACCATGCCCAGCTGATTTTTTGTATTTTTAGTAGAGACGGGGTTTCACTATGTTGACCAGGATGGTCTCGATCTCTCGACCTCGTGATCCACCCGCCTCGGCCTCCCAAAGTGCTGGGATTACAGGCGTGAGCCACCGCGCCCGGCTGGACTGCATTTTTATATATATCTTACTAGAATCATGTTTATTAAAATTTTGAGGCATGAAAAAAGATAATAAAAATAAAATAACAGCCAGACATGGTGGCTCACCACCTATAATCCCAGCACTTTGGGAGGCTGAGGCAGTAGGATTGCTTGAGGTCAAGAGATTGAGATCAGCCTGGGCAACATAACAAGGCTCCATCTTTAAAAAAAATTTTTTTTTTAATTATCTTGACATGGTGGCATGCCTCTGCAGTCCTAGCTACTCAGAAGGCTGAGGCAGGAGAATCTCTTGAGCCTGGGAGTTGTAGGTTACAGTGAGCTATGATCACGTCACAGCACTGCAGTCTGGGGAACATAGCAAGACTCTGTCTCTAAAAAATATAAATAAATAAAATAAAACAACAACCCTCCTTATTCATTATAACTAAAATACAGTATTAAAAGGAATTTTATAAACTTGAAATACATTCTTATCTTTTTTTAAGTTTACCACAAATGTGATATAAAACATGATTTTAAATGTTCAAGTCTTTTCATCTCATTCTACATATAAAAAAACATGACTCACGCCTGTAATCCCAGCACTTTGGGAGGCCAAGGAGGACAGGTTGCCTGAGCTCAAGAGTTCGAGAACAGCCTGGGCAACACGGCGAAACCCTGTCTCTATTAAAATATAGAAAATTAGCCAGGCATGACGGCATGTGCCTGTAGTCCCAGCTACTCGAGAGGATGAGGCAGGAGAATTGCTTGAACCTGGAAGGCAAAGGTTGCAGTTAGCAGAGATCACGCCACTGCACTCCAGCCTGGGTGAGAGAGTGAGGCTCTGTCTCAAAATAATAATAATAATAATAGGTTATTATTTAAGCAGCTGAGTGTAGTAACTGTTATGACAAGAGGTGTGGGCTTCTTCAGATATAACTTTTAAATGTCTGCCATTTCAATGATTTCCTTAAGCAGTGTTTAAAGGCAGTTTTCCAATTTGAAAAATTGAAACAAATAATGTTACTATTATGTTACTCTATGGCAAACTGAAGTTAGAGAGCAATTGAAAGATACTTAAACACTTTATTCTTATCTTGGTTCAGTGAATATTAACATGTTGTTCCTTTCTTTCCTGTATTTAATTTTATTTTAATCTCCTCCAGAGATCAAAAATAGCAGTGTATGAAAAGATGTGGACCTACATGCGATCAGCAGAGCCATCAGTGTTCACTAGGACTACAGCTGAGGGAGTAGCTCGTGTCCGCAAATCCAAGGGCAAATTTGCCTTTCTCCTGGAGTCCACTATGAATGAATACATTGAACAGCGAAAGCCATGTGACACGATGAAAGTGGGAGGAAATCTGGATTCGAAAGGCTATGGAGTAGCAACGCCCAAGGGTTCCTCATTAAGGTGGGTGGAATAGTATAACAATATAACATGTGTTGTTATAGTATTCCACCTTCCCTGATGTGCCTGAGAGAAATATTTTTGTTTTGTGTGTGAACATGGTATGTTTGTTTGTTTATTTTCTTTTTCTCCATTTCATATATTTTGATCAACAATCAGGTAATTTTTTTAATTTTGGAATAATTAATCCTTGTTGACATATATCTTTGAAGGCCATATAAAAACCAAACTGGTTGAACACTAGCTGCTTCCAGTGGGCCTAAGGCATGGGTAGCATATGCTTCTTTATATCTCATCAGATTTTTTTGGCCACCAATACGCTATCATTGTGTCAGTGATAATTCTACATCTTATCATTATTTTTTTCATTTTGCCTGGCCACTAGTTTTTGAGTCAGAAAAAATTAACCTCTTTCTAGCAAACCACTTTTTTTTCCATTTCAATATTTTATTTATTGTGGCATCTTTCTATTTTAGATTATCCTGAGGTTGTATTCATGCTGCGTTTGAAATCACATCTATTTATAAAAGCAATCATAGACAGAGGGAAAAAAATGAGCTCTGGTTTTATAGCTTACTCAAGTCACACTCCCACCTATTTCAAAGGGAGTGTGGTGTAAGTAAGATCTGTAAAATTAGACCCAATGGCAATCCAAAAATGCTTACAGATAGGCCCCTGAAATGTGATTAATGAGCAAAGCGCTACACGTGTGGATTAAGTGAGACTTTCATTCTTATGGAAATATTGGTTAAATCTGCCCTTTTCATCCTTTTGGTCCTGGACATAGAAAATTCACATGTTTATGTCCAGGAGGCAGAATTTCCTCTTTTCCTTAAGCAATAAAGGCTGCTGTTGAATTGATGGGGCTGGATCCCATCAAAAGTGATGATCGACAAATTACTCTGGTCTCAGTGCTGCTTAAGAGAAATGTATACAAAGCACAGATTCAAGAGGAAATCAGGATCTTTGCCAAAGGACTTAACCAAGAACCTGATCTTAAAAAGTGATGCCTCTGGTAAGCCACTGAAATGTGAAGGTAATGGGACCTGTACTATTGCCTAGTACAAATGAAAGCAATATAAATCTTATAATTGTTTTCATTGGTTTCATAAGGGTAACTGCAATGTATTTTGATATGTGTGTTGAGTTGGGAAGGGTTGAGAGAGACACAAGGAAAAAACGTCAGTAATGGAAAGGGTTGTGTTAAACCAATATATGTGTTTGCAAGCAACACTGTAATAATTAGCGAGAGGTTTTATGGTATGTTACAAAAAGCACAATATTAAAAAGAGATAAAACAAAACTAGCCAGTAAAGACAAATTTGGTTATGGACTGTGGCAATTCTGAAGTCAGACTTATTAACATACATTCCATGTGAAACTGAAGAAATGTGCAGGGAGAAAGCCAAACAAATAAATTACCCATAATATATTCTACCTAAAAACGATTTCAACCATTCAGAAACTTAAGCTGGCATCAGGTTGTTTCATCTTTGAGGGTATATTTTGTGTGATGCAATATGAAGAACGTGAAATTTCAATGAGGCCAAGTAGTAAATGAATCTCTGATGAAAGCATAGTTTGAGAGCACCTTAGTGTAAATAATTTTTTTTAAAATAGGAGGAGAGAATGCAATAGTGGTTGATATGTAGATCAGTGTTTAGACTATTGATTACATTCACTGGATGTCTCTCTTGCACTTAATTAATTCTCTGTGGATATAGCTGCCTTGTCCTCTGTCTTGTGTCTACTGATAAAGTCAAGTTCCAGGGACTGAATTTGGCCTTCAGTTATGGGTTTGCCTGACTCCCATTAATGGCAAGAGAGTTCCCTCTTAAATGTGCCACTTTGTCAAATCCACACTACAGGGATTGTTTGGGGAAAAGCTGAAGGGCTTCATCTGTCCAAAACTGTATAAAAATCAGCCATTGGCTTCCCCCTCTTTTCCTGTCCTTCCCTGGACCTTGTTAATGAGGCAATTGTTAAATTCAGCTTCCTGGATGGAGAGTTTGTTTATGCACTTTGTTTTATATATGCCACAATTTCCTGAACAAGCTGGCCCCTGCATGCTAAAACCACAGTCATTTTGTCCTGTCTTTGAGAACACTGGAAGGGCACTGAAGGCTGACCAGCATGCACCTCACCCCACCTCCTCCCTGTCTCATCCCAGCCATCTAAGCAGGAGCCTGATCAGGCTTGAATTCTCATTCTTATCTGACTATGATTCTTCTGTTTCAAATGAGGTGAACTAATACAAAGATGGCTCATAATCATCTTCTGTATAAATAATTTAGTTTGTAGAAGCAAATTCAAAATAATTGTATTCATCAGAGCAAGGTCAAGAGGACATACCTGTATCAAATTTGTTGATACAGGTATCAACGAATACCTGTATTTCTGTCTTATTCAGTTCCATAGAAACTTAAATTTGTTTTCCTATACAATCTACCTTTTTTAAAATCAGGTCTTTAGGTTAATAGTTCTGGATGTAGTGGGACTTTTGTATTGCATTGTGATTAACAATGGCTTTCTCACAAACTCAGTTATTCAGATTCATCAGGTGACGTGAGACTTTAAGCAAAAGAAAACAGTAATCTGTCCTTCTATTTACACTTAACCAGAGAAAGCAAACAAATGACTGCTTATGTTCCATTGGTTTAGGGAGTTTTACATTTCCAGATCTTGTTGTTTGTTTAAAGTGCTTCAGAAAGAAAACGTAGCAGAAAAGAGTAAGAGTATGATATACAATCAGAATTGAAAATTAGGACTTGGGTCTTTAATGCAGACTTTAAAACAAATGCAATAAGGATCATCACAAAGAGTAGATCTGTAATTGAACTGAAAAATATCACAGCAGTGATGACTAGCACCTGTCTTTATGGTAAAGAATGATTTGCAGAACTCTTTGCTGTTCAGGCTAGTGTTTGCTGGACATAATGCAATTAAATTTAAAACCATTGATCCATCACTTACTAATAACAATGACCAGAAATTGCTGGTTCATTGTATTTTGATATCAATTCTTCAATTCTCAGGTGACACAACAATTCCAGGTATATTAATTTGTAATCTTTTTTTCACATGCACAGTACAATTTATAATTTTATCATTGCCATGGTTTTCTTCCTCCTCCCTGTCCCAGTCTCCTTGGCAATCCAAAATGATTGTGAAAATCTTTCTCTGGTTGAGAAATATTTAAAGTTTGTTTTAAAATATACACTTTCAATGACATTGCAATGGAATGTAAAGTGTAGATGAAAGAGGAAGTATATTTATTTTGACTTTACTCTCAATACTATCAACACTATCAACTTTACTATACAAATTGACTATAGTATAAACATCTTCTATACTATAGTATTTATGGTATAATAAAGTTGCATACGTTACTGTCAAAATACTATCAACTTTGTTACGTTATCCATACTATACTTGGTTACTAGACTATTGATTTTACTATGTAATAAATAAACCTGTTAAAGGTTGGAGTGAATCATCATTTGGTTGATATAGATTTACTATTAAGTAGTTGTTAGATGAGAGTACCCCTTTTAAAGATATTCACAGTATCTAGTGTCTGTAAATACCTCCAGACAACAAAGCAGTGGGTCATATCTCACCACTTCCTCTGGCCCTTGGAACGATTTGTATACTTGACCTTATGTTTGAAGCCAAGTGAAAAACTCTAGCTACCTATACTTTTATTATTCAAGAGTGATAATTCCCATTCAAACTTTGCTTCCTCTAGAGAGATTTGTGGAACTGTGTCTAAAGTAAAACAAATATTCTGTCACTGAAAAAAAGGAAGGATGCTTCAAAAGAAAGCAGTTCCAATAGAACTTGCAACAGGGGGTGAGACATAGAAAAAATGAGGCCCAGCTGTACTTGGCAATGACAAGTTGCAGGAGCCCATAGCAACAGGAACCGATCCTTTGAAACCAAGCACATCATGCTTAGGTTACAACAGGCAACTCAGAACCCCACAAGAATAGTACAGCAGGGGGAGGAAGTACTCAGCATGGGAATTAGAATACCACATCTCTCACTGGACTTTTCCTTTCAGTATTGAATGAAATCACTGGCCTCATAAGACACTTGGCCTTAGACTAGATCTACTTCGGGGTGAGTAGAGTTCTTTGTAGGTCAAACTATGTTTCTTCCACTTTGGAAAAATTCGCTGGGGCAGGTGTACTAAACTCAGTATTCAAATTCATGTGTGGAAAATATATTATTCTAAGGAACTACTTTCACATATAAAATGTGGGGGATATACTTTAGTTCAGGAGTGCTTAGAAGGTTTAGGGAGTAATTAGAAGGTTTAGGAAAAAGGAGTTTGCATGTTAGTTTTTTTGACATTGGAAACTTAGTATTTAAAGTAAATACTAGAAAAACTTTACAGAAATTTAAAGCTGTGTACTGAGAGTATCGTTTGGCCTCAAATGAAGAAACTTTTAACATGCCTTGTGGAAATGAATTGCAGTGGGTTAGTACATATATTTTTTACTTTAACTATTATGAAAAGAGATATCTTTGCTTATGAATACCCTTCGTTTTTAGTGCCATATTAAAAGATGCTATGGATAGCATATTTTTTTAAAATCCCATTATATTTTGATATACAGTCTGTTGGGCTAAGGATTAGACAAGCACACATAACAAAAATCATTTGCATCTCTCAACATGCACAGACACACAAACACACATAAATCCTTTCTGAGATATGCATAAAAGATCTATCTAGTTTGCTATTAAAGATACTGACGTTTATCATGGGTACCAAGTATTTTGCATTTACAAACTGAGACATCAGATGGTAAATTTATCAACACTATTTGTGTCCCAGGGAAAAATAATTGCACAGTAGAATCCATATACTTCATCCCTCACTTTCTGGATGTTGACTACACTGGGAAGCATGAAACCTATCAGGGTATTTTAAATTCTAGATTTTTCATTTAAATCCTTCATATTTAATTAAAAGAATTAAAATTACAACTCTTCAA